CCCAAAACGCCGCGGATCAGCTGGAAACAATTCATGACCTGTTCCGGCAGCGTGGCAAGCTTCCACCAGGACCTTCTTGGTGGAACCGTAGAGGCCGCGGATGCAGGCCGCAGATCGAGGCCCGCCTGCCTCGGCCACCTCCGCGTCAGAATCCATGGCACAGTGATGAGAACACAGCGTTAGGGTTGGGTTGGGTGGGGTGGGGTGGGGTGGGGTTAAAGATTTGTTACAAAAGAGAAAGAGAAACAGATCATACAAAGGGCACCCCCTCCTAGGCAAGTGTATGTGAGGTTCTGTTCCATGCCATGAAAAGATGATGTAGGACCCCCGAAGCAAGATAAGCACAGAACACAAGCAAGGCATATGCAAGAACATGCACTCGGGGGGCCCGTATGAAAGGTAGAGAATGTGCGGAATGTCATTTGTTAATGTAAGGCCTCCAAGGACCTGCCCATGCACCCAAGACCCAGCCACCCGATACTCAACACCCGACAATGTCCCAAAGAAAGCTCCCGGCGACCCCGGACGACCCTATACGTCCCGTTACAAGTCCAACATACATTTTTTTATTGTCAAATTGACGCTAAGAGTAACTAAATCGACATAGCGCTTTCACTGACAATTCCTAGTCTGTTTGTGACATCCCGTTCTGTGCCCAGCATCACCTTCAACGTGCAAGGGGCTTTGGACGCGTCCAAGTCCTTACCCTGATGCCCTTGTTTATCATGGCCACTGTGATAGGCGTTTGTGCAACACCCATCTCTTGAAGGAAATACCGTTGATGCAATTCAAACGGCTCCCTTTGGAGTGCACACTGGAAGCGCGAATCCACGATCGCCGATGCTTCAACGGGTTGGCACACGGCCAGACGCAAGGCCACGCCACACGCAAAACGCCCAGGGCTTACATATTTGTTCACCCTTCTCACAGCGAAGAGCTTTGCCGACAGTGGCAACGACCCCCGCAACCGAACAGTTCGAGTTTCCTTGCACCCACATACCTTTCCTTTTCATGCGACAAGGACCATCATCCATCACCAACCAGCCATACCGCATTTCAAAGATACCCACTCATCGCCACAATAATTCTTTGAATCCTAAAACATGTTTTTCTTTTTTCTATAGATTCAGAATGTTTTGCATATAAACCATATTCTTGATGAGCATACAAGTCGCACACCATAATGCATAAGTGATCCACCCAGTGAAACGGTGGTCATTATGCGGTGTTGCGAACACATCTGAAATAACCATGACAAACAAGGGGATGAAGGTTTAGTGGCCGGCTGTGCCGACTGTTGGCGGAGCTTGGCCATGCTCGCGGTGCTTGTCCTTCTGCATGCCACTGAGTTGTAAACATTCACCGCCATCAGCTGCAGCGAGTGGCACAGTTTGTCGATCGTGAAGCCCTCTGGCCTCAGGGTTGCCACCACGAGTGCGACTGTGTACATTGCGGCGACTGACACAATGGCATCTCAGCACTTCCGCCCATTCGATGTGCGCCGCAGCACGTCGGGACACGTCGGGCCGTACACGTCCGTTGGAGCACCCAAAAGCATCCGTTTGCGGGCCTGCCATGGTGCCGCGCGCCACTCCAACGGGCACCGTGAGCGCTGAACCGTCGTCAGACGGCCGATTCGAGGATTCGAGGGGGGGATTCTGCTGTGTGCTTGGGCCGCACGATCGAGCGCGGGAGGCTACGGGACCGATGATGTCAGGTTTGAGGCTTTCTGTTGGGGTGTGCCCGCGCTTTTCCGCCTTTATTGAGGTTGGCTGGCCTCAGGATCGACCCTCCCCCCTTTGTAGGGGGATCTGGCAGCTTTCGCGGCACAACGGGGCCCTGGCGGCCTCAAGTTCTGCGCTGACGTGGCAACAGAATTCGCCAGGCCGTCACCTATAGCGGCTCACCCGAGCCAAGCCCCCACCCAATCCCCGCCTTACCCGCCTTCCCGCGTTGCCCCCCGCCGGTAGCCACGCTGCGCAGAGCGCCATGCTGTGCCCAGAGGCGCGCTGCGCCTGCGCAGTGGCCCTCCTGCTGCTTCTGCAGCCGCGCGGCGCCGTCGGCGATGCCCTGGACGACCTCATAGGCAGCGTGGAAGGCGTGGTGAACCAGGTCGCCGATCGCGCGACGGAGGCGTACAGGACGCGGTTCACGAGCGTGGCAGCGTGCGCGTGCTCGCGCCACGCGTGCGACGGCGACTTCGCCGCCGGCGGCACGTGCCACCAGGAGCTCGGGGACTCGGAGCTGTGCGGCGGCTGCTCGGGCCAGAAGGTGGGTGGTCGGACCATGGGGCCCGTGGCAAGGATAACCCCCATTCGCCGTTGCTCATTCGTTTTGTCCTTTCCTCTTTTGGGTTTTTTTGGGCTTGGGAGAGGGATCCAGGTGGGGCTGTTCTGTTGGGGACGGTGTTCGTGATGATTGGCGATGGCTTGTTTGGGATGTTTTGGGATGTGCCCCGATGCCAGGGTGCCGTGGGCCGAGACGTGGCGTGGGGTAGCGTTTCGGGTTCGGTTCGTGAGGCGCGGGGGGAGGCGACATTGTGGCTTGCTGGCTGGCGGCGCCCTGCGGCGCGCGTTTTTGAGTCACTGTTGACGTTTTGTGGTTTCGAGGACGTGTGGTAGTGGTAGAGACGGCAGCAGGGAAAAAGTGCAGGACGCCTGCTGCTCACGATGCTCCATCCGGCAGTCTCCTGTCCCACGGAGCAGCGTCGTTGATGCGCGTGGTGCGATTGCCCATCCTCGGACAAGTCGCTACCCTGGACGGGATGTGAATGGCGCAGCCTTTGGCGCTGCCGCGTTCGTTGACATCGCACACAATGACGAAAACCGGGTCCCGGTAAAAATTGGGGGAAGCTGCGCTCTACGGGAGCGCAAAAGACGGTCAAAGCGTCGACTTGCGTGGTGCCAGCCCCTCGTTCGTTGCACAACGCGTTCGGTGAATTGCAAGGAAAGCAGTGCACGAACGTGGTTGGATGAACAATCTGCGCGTCGTCAGAAGAGCAATGCCCAGCTGGAGGGAGCAGCTTTGGCGTTGTCTCGTGCGGCGAGCCCCGGCGAAAGACTGGTCCACAGCGTGTGTGCTGGACTGCGTGGAAAGAACATAGGTCGGTCGCCGTGTGTGGCTCTCGAAACGGCACAGGGGGCAATTGCTCGAGTGTTGCTTGGTGTCGTTTCGCCCTCCTCTCCTGTAGACAGGCGCGGACTGTCGCCAGGACTGCATCTGAGCCCCCTGCGACGCGGCAGAAACAGGCCTAGCATTCTAGGCAGAGACTCAATGGCCACCGCTTGGGTGGGGAAAGTCAAATGGTCACTTTCGTGTCGCTTCTCGCTTTAACCGTGCGTGTGGTCAGTGGCATGGGCGTTGACGTGGACATCATGTCACAAGATTATTGAAGCTCTCGTCAACCATGCATGGGTCCATAGCACGGCTCCACTGCCGTCGATACTCTTGTGCGATTCCACCAAAACGGAACTAATACGATTGTCGTTTGCTTACAATTGTCGACTTTCTGCGATTATTCCTGCCAACAACATGTGCCAACGGTAGTCGTGTCCAAACGTCCCAAATTGTGAAGCAAAAGCCTCTTGTGTGGTCCATTGTCACGGAACTACACGATTCCACGATTGGCATTGGCACCAACTGGGCGGTCTGTATTGTGCTGTGAGGTGGTGAAATTGGAATTCCTTTCTTGGTGCCAAGAGAAAATTTTGCCTTTTCCCAAAGGGTTTTGCATTGCCTGCCCAGCGCCCACTGCAATGAGGGATATCAAGAGGCAATGCCAATTCACAGAAGAATCAGCAACCAGCTGTAGTAATGCACTGGCGATTTGTTTTTACCAAAGTGAAACCCGAATTGCTCAGTTTATGATGCTTTGAAGCCTGAGGGTAGCGTTGTTGTGCAAGTTTTCTGTTGGCAGACCAGGATAAGCAGTCATTTGTACCATAGCCCTTGTTGCATTGCTGACACGACAATGCACTTCGGACCCCACAGAGATGGTGCTGATTCGTTGCCTTGCCCATTTTCGTTGTGTTGCAGCTCGACTTCGAGAACAGCTTTGTATTGACGCCCCCAACCACAGACCCCAGCACTTTGGACTCAGGCCTCAAAGACTCCATCTGCACCTTTCGGGTACGGCCCCTCTGTTGCGTGTTCCTTGCTCCCTCCTCTTATATCCAGATCTCCACGATGTGCCAAACATTGCTTCCCAATCCCCCGTGGGCACCAAAACTGTCGCCAGTGGTTGCATCATGCATACTCCCACGTTGTCTGCCGCGCTCCCCGTGTCGTCATCGTGACCTGCACTGCCAGCATGGCACCAGGCCCCTCCACGATGCACTTGCGCCCATTGCACGCTGCAAATGCACACCGCCCACCCCTCATTGGGCGCTTCTGGCTGCTCCCGTGCAGTTCTCGTGGCTGAGAACCCGCTAACAGCAATGCGCGTTGGCGCGGCCGGGAACGGGACACCAACGAGTGGCAGCACTGAGTGGTGTTGGTGGACGGGCAGCTGTCAAACGTACAGGAGTTTTGGGCGTGAAAGCATGCGTGTCACAATTGACCTCTTCTGAGCAAAGACACATGCCCAGCTACCTGGCTTGCCCACAGCGTCTTCCAGCAGAAGTCGTGGTCAGTGGCGCCAGGGTATTGTGTGCAAGTGACATGTCCCCCTGCGCTGTTCAGGAACACCCACACCATTCTCCGTGATCAGTGATCAATGATCCATGGTGTTGCTGTAAGATGAATGTCTTCAGCTGTATCCGGCCCCGTGTCGTTTGGTAGCTCTTGAAGATATCTCTTGTTCTGCATACCAGTTCACCCCCACCCAATCATAAACAAGACATTCGTTTTACTGCCACAGACTCATTCCTAGTTCAGGTATGTTCGTTGGGAAGTGGGCACTGGTTGGGAGCCAGGCAGTAGGACTGCATCACTGTTGTTATCCCACACGATGCAGTGCTTGATTGTGGATGGCTCACACGAGCTGATGCAATCGTTAGGTCATGGATGAGGTATTCTCAGAGGCAAGAGATGAATTCGGAATCAGGGCATGGACCTACATTGCCACTGGAGATGGTGTTATGAGGTATGTCTGGAGTCCGCCACAGTCTTTGTCCGGCATCACACAAGGATACACAGAAAATACGAAGTCCACAATAACATTTTGTAACAGCAGGAAAGTAATTCTGATGTACTGTTCTGGAATTGAAAACAGAAATGAAAGATACCATACAGTGGGCACTACTGTGGGCACCACCTCCCTGAAGTGAGAGTCGTGAATGAGTCTCTTTTGTAAAAACGCTGCAAACATCATGCAAGGGCAACAAGCCCTGCATGCAACATAGGGTATGAAAATCAACATTGAGCAAACGGCATGTAAATCAAGCTCTTGTTTGATGTAGAAATCATCTGGCATGCATAAAAAATATTTGCTTGTGCCCCTCAGCTCGGTGCTTCAAATCTCCTTACCTTCCTTGCTAGCCATCAATGCTCACTGGAAGCAGGCATCATCTGTTACTAGCGAATTCTCTGGGCACAGAGAACATGGTTGACAGCCCCAAGCCTTGTTTGTAACAGATGTCAGATGGTGCAGCAGACGGAAATCTGCCAAAGAGCGAAACAAAAGGGGCAGGCGTTCTTCATGCCAAAGTATAGCTTCTGACTTGAGAGTTCAGATGCCATTTGGCACCATAAGCAGAGGCACTGACCTTTTGCAATCTTGTGAAGTACAAGATGACGTAAGGTTCATAGAGGTTCGTGTCTGTGGAGAGGGCTGAGAGCGCACAGCTCTCCATCGCGTACCTTGTTGTGTCCCTGCTGATATTCGAATGCTGAGACTGATACTGATGCCATCCTGGTGCAGGACATGGCCGGGCCATGCCATGGAGCGTGGTGATGACGTTCCTCCTGGTGAGGGCAATGCAGAGTTGGGAAACTGCAAGCCATATGAACCGGTGAGCAATTTCTGTCGAAGCGAGTTGGCACTGCATGTTCCTGGTATTTGCCAAACATTACAAAACCAGACCCAAATTGCCATTCTTGTGGCTGTTGCTCTGCCTCAGCCATTTCTGACTCATGCTGTGCTGTGCCTCAAAGCGACTTCGTCCATGGTATGTTGCAGCCACCAGTGGGCCAAAGGATGTTGTTTTGGTGATTGACACATCAGGTGGGTGCCTTTGCTTTGTGTTGCCAACGTATTAGTACCAGGACAACTAAGACAACATCAATGTGCAAGACCACCCCCTTGTCCACCAAGTCAATGTGTAGCAATGTATCAGAGAGCAGTCGCAGTAAAAGAAACGAGAGCAGAATTAGAAACATCCACTGTGCCTGGAGCAGAGAAGACGTTCTTGCCATGTTTCATGATAGCTCAATCTCAGCAAGACTTATTGTTCGTTTAGGCAAAATTCTGGCCGAACAATGCCTTCTGCTGTATGCTGTTCAAGTTGCATTTTGTTTGTGATGCATCATTCTGAGCTTGGAGTGATTGAGGCACCTAATGTTCTGTTAGGACAAGCATGTATTGCTGGTTTTTCCAAGGAATCTGCTACAGAGGGTCAGTATCTAAACCGTTTCTAGCATTTCAGAGATACAGCCATTAGCACCCTAATCTTGTATCCTGTTGTGATAGCTGTGTCTGCACCTCAAAAGCCCTCTGCCTTTCTGTCGTTTGCAGGCAGTATGCTCACGACAGATGGTGAGAAGTTTGGAGACTTTCGTTCAAGATGGGATATTACCAAGGATGCCATCCTTGCCCTCTTGAACACGTTTGGCACCTCCGACTTTGTCAATATTGTGGCTTTCAACAGCGATGCCAGAGCACTTTATACAAACAAACTTGTTCAAGCAAATGAGGAACAAATTGCCCTGCTGAAGGAAGCACTGGAGAACATAGAGCCTCTTGGTGGGACGGATTTTCGATTGGCAATGGAGGTCGCATTTGATCTCCTCATCAATGCAGCAGATAGAACGCTTGAAGACGAGGAGCCAACCAGCTCAGACTGTGAGAAGGTCAGCTGCCTCTTGCCTTCATGGCTCCAAAAGTTCAGTCCTTCTCACTGAATCCATTGATAGCTTTTTGCAAATTCTGTGACTGAAAATGTCAGAATGTGACTAAGCATGGAGCTTGCTGCTGGATGGTGATGGTGTAGTTCTGCTCACAATGTTTGTTAGAAAAAGTTGTCCCACATGGCCGCAGCCAAATTTCCGCAATTTTCAGCTCACGAAATTGTTCATTGTCAGGCATCATCGTTGCCAATGCAAATGTTTATGTTACTGTAGGGATTTGCACTGAACATGGCACTGTGCTGCTGTTCATGCACCTTACCGAACAACAAATCTGTGGCCAACTGCCATTCACCAATGTGTTTCTTCCAGAGTTTCGTTGCAGCACATATGCACTTTTGCCGAATGGAGCGTTGAGGCTGCGGCAATCGAGCTGGTGTGTCGACACAAGTAGCTGAGTAACAAAATCGAAGACTTTGACCTACACATGCGACGCAAGTGTCAGCTTCAAGGCCACTGGGTGAAAAACAATTTCATGACACATCAAGTGGTGCGCAGGTGATTCTCTTCCTTACAGACGGCAAAGACTGCACGCTCACAAACTCCAGGTGTTCTATGCCAGTTGACGAAAACGAAACTGGGGTGGACTCTGTGCTGAATTTCATCGAAGAGAAACAGACGAAGTTGGCATCTTTGGAGAGCCAACGGGCGCACATATTCACATTTTCGTTGGGCTTTGAGGCAGACGACGAACTCCCAAAGGAGATGGCATGCGCAAATGAGGGAATCTGGAAGCGTATCATACGTAAGAGCTTCACATCACCTGATATAGCTCTGGCATTGCATGCATGCTTGGTTGTGTGCAAATAAGACAGGAACACCCAGGATAGGGCAGAAATACCCAGTCTTGTGACCAATGTGTGATATTTTCTCAATGCCTTGTTTGATTGAGTGTTGTTGTGCTGCATTTTGGCCATGCTACCTACCTTGATGCTCTCCAGCTGTAACGCCACCGAAACGCAGGGATACATGTTTTAAATGTAGATAACTTGGATAGCTCTAACACCAGATCGCTTGACATCGCTCTGTGATGAAGTTTGTATGACTTGAAAGGACAACACAACATTCCAGGCTGCAGTTGTGTGCACTTTGCCAGTGTGCAGGAGACTCAGCAGCACTGCACTTCCAACAGACACATCTTCTGCCAAGACAACTCCTTGGTGGACAACACTGGGCCATCCATCTTTATATTGCCCACCAGTAATTGATCTCCTTGCACTCAATTTGGTGCAAGCCCTCCCCCACATTATTTCCATTCCGTAGTTCGTTTCAGTTCAGCATCAGTGCTTTGTTCTTGGAGATGAAGCACTTTGGAAGCACGACAGGGTCCACAGTAGTTAAAGTCACAGGTGACCCAGGAGTATCGAAAACTGAATGTTGCTGTGCAGCCTGTGCATATTGCCACGTGTTCAATCCAACTTTCAAGGGTTCAAAGTCTGAAATGATGGTGTGCCTTGGATGCAACAGACAGTGATGACCCATTGGTCAAAATGAATGCCTACACCTCATATCTGGCATCAAGAAGAGCACAATCCGACGTGATTTGGTCTCGAACCTATGATGATGCATTTGGTTTGGGCACTGTTATAACTGCTGCCAAGCCAGTGTACGGTCCAGCAACAGCTGTTGGTGAACAAGGGCCCCTCATTGGCGTGGTGGGGCATGACGTGAGGTTGTCAGATTTCAATGAGAGGGCCCCAGGCTTCCAGGAAACGATTGGGCGATTCATATCTCGAGGGAATGAATGCCTTCCTGTCGAATTCTCCAGCTGCGACCTTCAGGTACGAATGCGCACAGTCGCTAATGAAGTCCCCGTGTTCACATATTCACCACCAGAATTGAGGACCAACTTACAGATTGTTTGTGAGATGCGCTTTCAGCTGGCTCCTAAGTTTCTGCATAATGCCAGCCCAAAATGTCATCCCAAAATACTTTTGGGCTGATTGGGCTGAGTTTTGGGCTGATAGTTTCTGGCCAATACTGGAAGCCACCCTGCAAAGTAGAAACCATCCTCTATCACCTTGATCTTCTTTCTGGGTTGTGTGAAGCCATGACTGTAGTTGTCAACGTGACCAAATGCATAGTTTGCAATTTTTGCACTGGACAGAATGAAAAAGGTACGTTAGCAGCTCGGCTGGAATCATTGAGCCTTCCTTTGAAAGGCAAGTTTCCCGTTGTGCGCCTGGAAATTATGCACTTGAAAACGAGTTATCCTTTTTCGCTGAGACCTAAACGCCTAGGCTAGCAACGCAGTGAAGAGGCTAAGCTCCTGCAGATAGGCTCAGTTCTGGAATGCACACGCAGTTGGAGCCCATTGGGTGACATATTTTCACAGCCGCAATAACACGGAATACTGCTTGTTCCTCATTGGGCGTGGGCAGAAGTCGACTCTATTGGTTGAGCTGTGCTACATAGACTGCTCGTATCTGCCTCGTCGCCTGAAGCACTGCTTATCAACCTAGACTCCCACTCGCGCTCGCGAACATTCGCTCGACGGACAGGGCAGTTGCTGTGTACGTTCAGATTGTCACCAGTGGCCGTCGGCGTGCCTCGATGCCTGGGGTCGACGAAAGACCACATTGTTGCTCATGTGTTGGTGTGTCTGAAATCATGGCAGCTGCTGAGGGGAGAGCAGGCCCAGTGCCCAGAGGTTTTCGACGATGCAAATTGCTACTTCTTCGAAGGCACTGGTAACTACTACATGGCCCCCAAGACGCCACTCCTCGATTTCGCAGGGGCCGAGGAATACTGCCAGGAGCGTGGGGGCACCCTTGCGGAAATTGACGAAGACCTCGAGGACGAACTACTGGCGGGGATCGCTTCTAACGCCGGATCGTGGCTGGGCCTTAGGTACAGTGACAACGATTCGCAGTGGGTGTGGACGAACAGCGGACGGGTGGAGCCACAGGGGTCGAATCTTTGGGCAGTGTTGATTGATCCTCCGACGCGACGAAACCGCTTGATGTGTGCCACAATCGATCGAAGGGGAGTGCAGCAGAATGTCCATCCTGAGGACTGCAGTGTCAAGCGACGCTTCCTCTGCGAATTCGTGGGGCCGTATCCTCCGACTGGATGTGGGGTGAGTCATGCAATGAAAATAGAGTTTAAATCAAATTTCGTTGAATCTAATCCAAACTATACTCAATCCTGTTGCTTGTGGCTCCTTGACTTCAGCACTCTTCAAGAAGAAATTATAGAGCTGTCCTACCTTCGCATCCATACACGTTTTCGCTCTCGTGTTAAAAGGGCGTAACGTTAGTTCAGCGCTGTATTATAAAAGTATGTGATCGATGCTGGAAGTCAGACGCTGCAACAAACACGGGCTATATCAGGATGTTTCGATATTTTATGGACACTTGGGACTTGACCTGACGAACTCTTTCTCTCCTTCCTGACATTTTCTCTCTGATGGTTAGAACTCCCCTGCCCGCATGGATATTGAACGCTGACCTAACACCGACGTCTTCTTCCTATCTTATTGTTTGGGACCCTACATCGGCTCCTGCTGGAAAAGGACCCCGTTGTGCGTTACGATTTGTGGGGGAGCTCTTTCTTAGATCAGCATGTAATACATTGGGATTCAATATATTATTTGTTTATTTCGAATTCGCGTGTATTACATGCTGAGTGTTAGAATTATGTCTTTTGTTGTTCTAGCTGTATGGTGCCATTCGCTTTTCCAGTACCACAGTTGCATCGTCTAGTTACTGTTTTTGCGTCATATAGGAAGCAAAGTGTCGACCGTGAAGAAGACAATCCTGTTGAGAGTCGCAAGCTGCTGCTGCCCTGAAGGACTGCGCTATTGCTTCACAAGGAGCGGGCTTGCCTGAGAATGTGTTGATTGCATATGTCCAAAATGTGACGAAACGATGTCCTTGCGTCTGTTGGGTGCTTTCGGTCATTACTATCATTACACTTTCCGTAACTGTTTGTTCCAAAGCGCTTTTGTTCCACAGGAGAGCGATACAATTGTAGTTGATGATGACTACGAGTACAACGTTCGACCCCTGTCAACATGCCGCCCAGGGGGGGAGAGCGGACGGGATGCCACGGCTATCGGCGTCGCTGTAGAGAGTCTGACTAACGAGAGGGTCATCTGCCCCCTTGGACAGCCCAAATCCACTTTTGATGTCCGCTGCTGTGACGAATGCAAATAGTGCAACTGGTGAGTATCCTAGAAGACGAAAATTTTGTTAGTTCTTTGGTTCATACCGGAGCACCCATCCGCCCAGCCACGCAAGCGACGATTCCCTGTGGTTTTTAGAATCCGCCGTTTTACTCCGCATTTGGCTCATTTCTGTTGCCGACAAGGTATTGCAATTGCAAGGGGAGCACACCGTTTGGCAAATCGCAGCAATTGTAGACTGATGAACGCAAACGGTTTGTGCGTAGGGGATTTTCTACATCGCATGACTCGCTGTCTGCGCCGTCCAACGTGACCTGGCGGCTGAAATGCAGCCTGGAGCACCGACGCCTGGGAAAGCAGGGCGAAGAAACGGAGGAGGAAGACGTCCAGCTGGAAGCGTTGGCCCGTGATTTTGATATTGGTCTGAAGGAAGGCATATCTTGTATTGTCTGGCTGAAACGGGGGGGACGCGGTATTCTTTTTTGCGCAGCACTGGGACGTCGTGTCTGTGCACCAATCGGGCATTAACTGAACTGGCACAACCGTGAATGATCGTTCGTTCGCAACATGGGATGGCAGTTGCCCAGGGTCACCAAGAGCCGGTGACGCTTTCTGATTTTGTGATTTGTTTGTAAATATAGGAGAAGAGAAGAATGCAATTGAGCTGCTGCCTGCTTATTCTGCGGCTCCTCCGTCCTGAGTTGAAGGGCAGTTATCAAGAAGGGCCAAATCACAGTTCCATTTTGATGAGTGCACCGAATGCCATCAGGAACCTGAAACGCTAATGCCAAATCTTTAGGAACCATCCAGAATTGCCATGGAAAACGGTCTCAAGACCATTACGGCAAGGCTCAGATAGTGGTTTGCACCAAATGCCATGGACGGCAACCTACCCCACGATCTCTCCTCCGCTCCTAGCCAACTTGAAGCAGCTTGGAGGTCGTTGCCGCCTTCCGCCTTAAGTGTGCAGTCCATATTGACGAACTGCGAGAGCCCGTCACCCTCCAACGTCCAAGAAGGGCAGCTCGCAAGCTCTTGTCGTGTTTAGTGTGATATCCTTGATAAATCGTCCGAAATGGAAAAAAATGACTTCGCAATTTTCAAATGGTTGGTCTGGGTTTGCAGTGACCACGTCAAACTGAGTAATCAGAAATGCGGATTGGGCGGTGGACTGAATCTGAAAGAAAAACGCATTTCTTCCCTTCGCCTCGTTGGGTTGTTTTCACCGTCGGCAGAACATCTGTCTCAAGCTGCCCTCCTCCATTCGGGTTTCTACAAGAAACGGCCTGTGCAGTGCGGGTTCGTTCGCCACCTTCCTATTGCGTGGTAGCTGGGAAAATTTTGTCTTCCGCCAGGCCGCTGAGTGGGTGCCGTTTAGTGATGTCAATGGCAGTTGATCGATTGCCAATTGCTGCAGATATGCATGCTGTGTTTAACTGCTGCCATGTCTACTACTGCAGCATGTTAAGCATGTAGAAGGGTTAACCTTTCTGCGTTTTGAAATTTGCGGTTTCGGCTCTGTTTTTGAGCAGTTTGTTAATCAATTGTGCTAATGCTCCACATCGTGCCCTAACGACTCAGGTTGCATGAAACTTACTGTGGTTTGCTTTGATTTCAAACCAAAACAAGGAAGCAGCCCAGGCCATGATGTTGACTAATGTTAGGGCTTTCCCCTTGCTCAACTTCCGCCTCAAAAAGGTGCCCCCTATTGCATGCGCCCATACAGAAACAGGCACCCTCAAACAAGGTATTCAAATTCCTTTGCATCTACAACTACGAGCTGGGATAGCACCAATGGGTGCTGACAATTTCTAGCCATATTGCACGACTTGTGTATGCTAACTTTCCCCTTTTGAAAACCTCCAGAATGGCAACTTCTTTCTGTATTCATTGCCACAAATACCTTCTGTACCGCCGTATCAGTGTATAGGGGTATAGGCCCTTAGTATAGTCTACAAGGGCGACCCTAAGGTGACCGGCCCAAATAGGGCTACGGTCACCTTCGTGTAGTCTTAACGCCCTGCTATACTGAGGGCGGGTAAGGTGACCACCAGTACTGGGGTACCCCCCAGTATCGGCTCTCGGGGAGTGGCCCCAGGCCTCACCGGTCTAGGGTCCGGTGATGGGTCCCGGGATTTAAGGTCTTCGAGCACCCGCCCCCGGGCTAGCGGCTTTCCGCGCAACACCTTCCTTCATTGCAGCAATGTACTTTGTGTGCATTTGTGTAGTTGTGAGGTGCCCTGGACCGTTGTTTGAAGGGGTCAAATGGATTGTTTGAAAGGGTCAGACCCGCACATTTTGTGGGCACACAATTCATATTTTTGTGGTTGATTTGGTACGTGTGGCTGCCAGCATTTTGGTGTTACATTAGGGTGACCTTTTGCTTGCTTGGATGGGGTATTTGAGGTGGTGGTGCACAGCACCAAACAAGGACACCCGTTTCTTGAGCAACCTAAGGGAAGCGGTTGCATTGGTTGAGAAAGCCATGCACCCCCCTCGTACAGTGAGCCCACAAATGGGCTAGGCAAGTACCACTTATGAAGTGTAAGGGATGACTGCCGGGAAGGCCATGCACCATGTTTTGGACACCTTCCCGCCTCTCGATAGCCCCATCATTGGGGATCCCAGTTTGTTGCGCCTCCCAACGCTCCACTGACACCCAGCCTACGAGAAGGACGTGTTGTTAGAAAACCTTAAGGACCCATGGAGAGAATCCGTCGCCTTTCGAGGGCTGGCAAAAAATCAAAAGATCGGGATCCATTTCGACATGAGGGTGACCCGGTTCTCCCCAAGGCACTTTGACCAGTCAAGGCCATGCCCAACAGCGTGGGCATCAGCGGGTCTTGTATGGCCCATATGCGGCGCTAGTTTTTAGGCCATGAGATGGCCGCATCTGTATTGGAGGGCAACACTATGGTGGGTGCCAAGAAAGCAACCATTTTTTTGGGATCTCACGGATTTAGCGGCGATGATAAGAAAGCGATGAGTATGGAATGAACTTGGCAACGACATGAGGCAACTGCTAAACTGTAGAATATGAGCACTCATGGAGAGAGTGTAGTCCTGCCCATGCAAATGGCTCTGCGTGCTTTTGTGAGTAATTTTGGGAGTGATTGAGATGGTGGGCGCAGAACTGGAAATTCAGCGAAAGTGGTGCAGAATGGGTGCAGAACTAAATTAGCTTATGTTTTGGTTGTGTGGGAAGCAGTACACTTATAATTTTCCAAGTCTTTTGCGGCTTCACAAGTGTTTCTGTCTCAAATAATGCAGAAAATGTTCTGATGAGATGTCGTTATGATTTGCCCAAAATGGCCAGCGATGTCTCTGTAAGGAAATAGCATTTAACACATTTCTGTACACACAAATGTGGTTTTAAACATTGAACGTCATTTAATTAGCACGTGTTCTATTTTTCTGGACAATGGCACCTTGGCTTTTGGGTGTTCAATCACAGTTGCCCTTTGATTTTAGTGGCCAGAACCGTATAATGAAAAAGACGCTCTTTAAAGAACGGCCGTCACAAACAACACCAAAATGGGCACCCGCTCCCGTTCGATGGCCGACATTCAACCCGCAGGCCTCACATAACCAGGCGTCGTACGCTCCTTCCATCCCCGCAAAAGCCGGACAACACCCGCTGCGAAGGGGGAAAGCCAGCAGCGCCCTGCCGGCGCTGACGCCACGCGGCCCACCATACCTCTACCATTTCATCCACGTCCCCTCCGTCGGATAGCCGTCGGTTTGCCCCCCTCCCACACGGGCCCCCTCAAGCCTTTCCCCCCTTGCCCCCCTCAGCCATGGGCGTTCCCCGCCCGGGCCGAGGGCTCCTGGCCCCCCTGGCGCTCGTGCTGCTCCTGGGCGGGGTGTGCGCCGATGAGCTGGACGACCTCATCGACAGCGTGGAGGCCGTCGTGAATCTGATCGCCGAGGACGCCAGCGCGGCGTTCGCGGGCCGCTCCGAGGCCGCGAAGGCCTGCGAGTGCTCGCGACACGCCTGCGGCGGGGAGTTCGACGCCAGCGACGAATGCCACGAGGAGCTGGGGGACGCAGAGCTGTGCGGCGAGTGCACGGGGCAGAAGGTGGGGTAAACCAAGGCGGATGCGAGCAAGCGTCCGGGCGGATGCCGCTTGGATTGGCGGCGGTTTTGGCGCTTGCAGGGCGCGTGCGGCGAAATATGGTATTGGCAATTGCGGGTGGGGTGGGGGGGCCTCAGGGTTGGCGCCCGGGAAACATCGGCATGTGCCAGATGGCAGGATTGGCGGGATCGTGTGAGGAGGCGGCATTGGTGCACGAAGCGACGCGCCGGCGGCGTTGCTCGTGCCGCCGAGTGTGCGCCGACGGCGCCGCGCGGCCCGTTGTGGTCCGCGGCTGGACTGGGCGGCGGTGCGTGGCGCGGGGCGAATGCGTGGAGGCTGGTGATAGAAAGCAAGTGGGCGTTGGGCAGCGGATTATCCCAGTGGATCCAAGGATCATCGACGAGGGAGTCGACTGGGCTGGCTTGGTTGGGGACGATTTGAGGTCTTTGGTGATCGTCGGAAGCTGACGTGGACACAGAAAAGTTCGGCACCCAATTAGTCGCTCTATCTTTTGCGTGAAGGTCCCTTCTTGTTTCGGGCACCCTATACCCTAAAACTACTGAGCCACTGAGTGGCGTTGGCCCTGTTAGCGGAAAAAGAACGATCTTCACGGAAGAGACAGAGGGACTAGCGTATTCTCGAAATGTTCGCGCACATGAACTCCACGTGCTGCTTGGGAAAATTGACCACGGGCATGTATTTTCGTGCACTTAACGGTGCTAGAAGTTGGTGCTTTGAGAACGTGCGAAAATTGTGCAACCGGTGGTGTTTGCTTGCCAACATGGTGGCCGACTCTGGAGACCACATCCTGTTCTGGCGGCAGTCTATTAAGTGTCAAGTTCCATTGTGGCATTGTTTTCGGAAAGGGAGGAGCAGGCGAAGGTTTCCATGGGGAGAGAAACTTGCAGATAACCTTGCACAGTGGCTTGGTGTTAAATACTTGCAAGCTTATGTGCCGCCAGCTTTTCTGAGTCTGCAGTTATTGGTTGGCACTGTAGTTTGTGTGCCCTTGCCCTGGTCCTAGCTACTCCGTCCATCAATTTGCTCATGGCTTTCAGCAAGAGCCTGCAGTTTCAAAGTTAAATCCCAATCCCAGTCAAGCAAATCTGATGATGCCTTTGCAACGAAACCATCCAAACGCGGAAGGCCGTAAGTCATTCTTGCAAATGCACCAATAGCACCCATGCCTCAACTCTCATCAGAAGATCAACATCTCCCACAGAATCTAGGAATGGGTGGATAGACTTCACATTCGGTGAAACCAAGGGTGTGAGCAGCTGTGCCCACCGCCTGAGAAGCACCTCATCATCTTCTTGGCTCTGGAGTATTCATGCAACGCTGTTCCTTTTTGGATTTTGATTAATGCAATTCGCTAGAGTTGGAAAATGCAGTTCGGCTGCAGCATTTCAACCTGCAAGGAGGCAAAGTCTGAACTTTAATGGCTTTTGGCATAGTGGATCCCTGGGGCACAAGCCAAGTAGATTTGGTGTAACCACTTTGACTTGGCATTTCCACGTTATTCCAATTGTGGAACCACAACATTTGCTTGTGAACTTTGTTGCTCCAATGGTTTCCCAGTGACCAGCTCGATGTTTTGTCCCAGGCTTTGTCCAGTGCATGCGAATGTTGCAAGTTCTCCTCTCTGTGTCCATAGCGACTAGTTAATGAGTTTAAGTACTTGTCCTCACCTGCATCTTCTGGTGGGACGTTGAGATCACACAGGACTTAAATTGTTCCATGCCTTTACTGGCCTGCAAGAGCTGGGCATATCCTGGTTTACTCTGACACCAGCGAATCCTGCAACATGAGCAGCACTCACCACAAGCTGATGTGCATCACTGTGTCCTTTGCGGTAGGAGATCTGCTGAAATGCTGCAACAGTCACCCCACCAAGTCGTTAATTCTCCCAGTGCCAGGCACCTGTACATTGCCTGTTAAGCATGCACCAGGGCTTTATAAATGAGACATCCTGTGGCAGTGACAAACTGTGATCGTGACACCATCTGTTGTGTCTGCAGCTTGACTTCAGCCAAAGCTTCGTTTTGACGTCACCTGCAACAGACACAGAGAATATGGCTGCTGATGTGAAGGATTCCATTTGCACATTCCGGGTCAGTTGCAGCTCATATTATCTTTGTTCACAACATTGACCTCCCTTTCGCACACTGTACCTTTCAGCATCAACAGCTCATCACCACTGGCACTATCGTAGTTAGGTCCTGGTCTGATCGAGACAATGGAGGTTTTTCAATTTGTTTTATATGTGTTTGTGTCAATCGTTTCTGGCTCCCTATTCCTTTTAGCCCTGGAACGTATGAGACCTCAGGATAATGGAGAGACTGTTTTTTTGGCAGCACAGGAAGGAGGCAAAGTCTTGTGCCATTCTCTTAGTTTCACATGTTGGCCTTGTAAAATTGCGATTTCACCATGTTGGTCAGTACCTAGGGTGTTGGGGGTGTGCTGTTGCCCAGATTGGAGGAAAGGCCATGTTGCGTTTTCACTGTACCACTGTTTGCTCTGTAGGGCCTGGATGAAACATTTGCCAGTGCAAAAGACCAGTTTGGCACGCGGGCGTGGTCATATGTTGCAACAAACAATGGCGTTATGAGGTGAAAGGGCAGTCCACCCCGCCGGTGAACAGATTTGACTAGCATTCTGTTTTGACTGTGTTTGTAAAAACGTTGGGGGCGGAGATGATTCATCCGCTTCATTCTGCAGGAAGAAAAGCATCGAGAATCTTGAGTTGTGGAGCTCAGTTGTGAGTTTCCAGTGCAGTTTTCGCAATTGCTATGATTGCCTTTGTTGTTGTTGTTTGGAACCAAAAGTGTAATCGCCCTTGGATGAATCAGGTGCTTGAACTGTTGCTAACTTTGTATTTGTCTGAATATGATCGTGCTTGTGAACATTGCAGGACAATGTCCTTTTAATTAACACATAATAATGCATCACCTAGAAGATGTGTAGGGAGATTGTCAACACAACTAATGCTTTGAAAAGCAGTACAGATCGTGGATCATGGCTGTATGATTCCTTTGCATTCGCCTGCTATTGAGTCTGAAGGTAGCCCGAATTCCTCTTAAAATCCTCATTGCGGTGGTGGTATAGTATTGTATTTGAAGTCCCAACAACAGTGTTGGCCATGGAGCTTAGGACTTGAATATGCACCTTCAGCGCACGTCCTGCTGCCTTGCACAACCCAAAAGAAAACTGAAAACAGTTCATGTACTGGGCCACAATGTTCACCCCACCCATTTACTCTTTGAGAGAATTCCCCCGGTCTGACGTGCATGACCTGCATTGCTGTGCAGAGACACTTCCTGCTGAAAATACATTTGGGACACTGAGTGCTCCATTGGCAAGCTGCATTGACAGACTCACTGCCAAGCCAACTGTTTGCACCACTAGAATATCTGTATCTTGCCGTTCTTTTCTCACTCTCCGCCGTTTTCTTGCTATTGTCTTGTGGCCCGCCTTTCTCCACTTGTCACAAATCTTTACAGTGCCGCTTTTGCCACCCCCTCTTTACAGAGCCTCTTTTCCCCCCCCCTCTTTACAGAGCCTCTTTTGCCACCCCCTCTTTACAGAGCCTCTTTTGCCACCCCCTGCTGTTTAAGTTGGCTAGAATGTGGCCTGGTTTGCACAGGAGTTGGCCTGGCCATGCTCACGAACGAGGAGACGACGTGGATGCAGAGGAGGCGGACGAGCGACTGGGCAACTGCAAGAAATACGACCCGGTCAGCTGGTACCCTGTGGCCTTACTATTCATCCATTACTGCATTCAGAACCGTGGATTTATTTTGATCCATGCACTGGGAGTTCTGGTGTTCTCTCAGCTGGTTCTATCCTTTTTCATGAACATTAATGTGTCGCATGAGATCGTTGCAGCCAGCTTTTGACGTGTACTATGTGGCTGCCCTGTGCCCTCCAGAGGTTTCGCCCGTGGTACACTGCAGCCAGCAGTGGTCCAAAGGATGTCGTGCTGCTTGTGGACACATCAGGTATGTGTTGCGGGGCACAGCATATGAATGCATAAATCTTGCCAAATAGTCATGCTCTTTTGCACTTTTGCTGTAATCTGCTGGTGCATTTCTGCATAGCCTGTCTATTGTGCAAGGTGTGTGGCAACGCTTTCACACAGGAATTTGGATGGAGCAAGCTTCAGTTTTGAGGGACGCATGGAACTGCTGGCAGGCATGACCTTTTGGAAGGGAGTAGATTTTGTCAAGTGTTCCACACATATTATGTATTGTGTTTCAAATTTCATGGCAAATGAGGCATGGACATCGCTTGTGAAAGGAGGCTGTGTCTGACGCAGGGCTGTGGAAATGATGCTTTGGGTGATCTTGGGTGCTGTCCATTCGTTGCGAATGTTGTTCATTGACAAGTTAACCATTAGCTATACAATGGAGCATCTCAGTCGTAAGCACTGCTGAAAGCTGTTGTTGATTGTGGTGTACAGAGAGCATGCTCACTCCAGATGCAGGGGAGGATGGGAAGCTGACCACCCGCTGGGAAGTCGCCAAGAATGCCATTACCAGCCTGCTGGGCACCTTTAGTGCTTCGGACTATATCAATCTTGTGGAATTCAATGCCAAGGCCAAGGCTCTTGTCCCAGACAAGCTGCTGGTGGGAACCGAGGAGAATATTGCTATGCTGAGGGAGGAGGTGGAGAGCGTGGACCCAGAGGGAGACCCCGACTTTGCACTAGGCATGGAGCTGGCATTCGATCTGCTGATCGGTGCAGCAGAAAAGTTTGAGGAAGGGGAGGAGCTGAGCAGCTCTAACTGTCAAAAGGTGAGTTCACCATGCAATGAATATGGTGCAAGACTGCAGCAGGCTTTCAGTGGACGCCTGTACCAAGGCAGAAAGGATTCTGAAGAGGATCCTGCACGTCACACTGTTGGCTTTTTTTTTCCTCTTGAGCAAGATTTTGAGACTCATTTCCGAATTGTGGAAGGTACTTTGTTGGGCTTCTGGGTGACTGGGAGTGAAAGAGAGACGGAATTCCAGGCCATGAAAAGACGTTCTTGAGTGCGATAACCTCTGGATGCTTGTTGGGAAAACCTGCACGCAGGATAATTCACAGCAAAGGGTGCATACTCAAGACCCCATATCAGTTTGTGTGCACAGCAGAATCAAATGCAGTGCATGGCCCGTTGTAGCATCGATGATTCGTGCCTTGCATAATCATTGGTGGCGTATCAATATGCTTTGCAACCGATGTCAGCCCTTGTGCCTCATATTTCCTTGCAGCCTGCGTTGTTTTGCAGGACAGGTTCCACAGTCACTGCCTTGCTTGGGATGATCTGGATCTGCAAGCAAAGAATACCGGCACTGGCGTGAAACTGTGGCCATCTAGCTATGTAAAATATCCAAAGCTTTGCCGAAAGTTTAGAACTTGTGCATTGAAAGTGTAATGGAATGGTTTGAGCACGTGCCCATGTTCTTGAGCGAGAAAATATTACATATTCTCACACACGTTCAGTTTCAGGCAAGTCAGGAATGCTACAAAGCTCTCGCACAATTTGGTCCAAACAGCAAGCACAGCGCAGTGAACATATATGTTTCCCCGGTGTCAGCTTGTGTGCTCTTGTGCAGATCATTCTTTTCATCACGGATGGCGAGGATTGCACAACAAGAGGGACGCCCTGCTCCAGAGAAACACCGGAAGGCACAACACCAGTGGATGCAGTCGTCAATTTCATCGAGGAGAAACAGCAGGAGCTGGAGGAAGCAGGCAGTCAACGAGCGCACATATTCTCCTTTTCTTTTGGGCACGATGCTGATGACGAGATTCCGAAGGAGATGGCCTGTGCCAACGAAGGAGTGTGGGGGCAAATTCTGCGTGAGTCGATTCGCCACATTCTGTTCTAATGTACAAGTTTACTAATTCGTGGAACCGTTCATCACAGAAAGCGTTTCTTGACAATCACATTTGCCTGCTCTGCAACTGTAGTACAAATGGCCCCAGAATGGGCATGCTCCGCGCTGATGGAATACGGCGCCGACAGCCAGCGCGTTAAAATAGTTGCTTGCGCGGTCGCTTTGGCTTGCGCATGTGGTTTGAGTTGTGTTGCAAGACTGGCGAGTGAATCGTACACCGGACCACAACCGCTGCCAGCAAAAATTCGCTTGTGGTCTTCTCCATCCTCGGTGTGGTAGGAGCCACCCACCAGCAGCAAGAGTGAAACCGAGACAATAGAGCACGCCCTGAAGCAACAAGGACGCGCTCCCAGAGTGTCCACGTCAAATAGTTCGTCGCCGTTCGTCCCTTGATAAGAACGGTTTGTCGCTGTTGCGTTCGTGCAGCCGACGACGACCCCCTGTTCAGGATGCACGCCTACACCTCCTACCTTGCGTCCCAGAGGGGCGGCGCGGGCGTCATATGGTCGCGCGCCTATGAGGACGCCTTCGGCCTGGGGAACGTCATTACCGCCGCGAGGCCCATCTTCAGCCCCCAGACGTCCCTTGGGGCCAACGGCTCCTTCGTGGGCGTGGTGGGGCACGACATACGGCTGGACGACGTGCAGGCCGTGGCGCCCGAGTTCCTCTCCGTCATCCGGCGGTGGATACTGCGCGGCATACAGTGCATCGACACCGAGTTCACCGGATGCGAGCTGCAGGTGCGCGGACTGGGGCGACCTGAATTGACCCGTGCAGTCAGCCCCGTGCAGGCCTGCTCCTGCAGACAAACTTTTTCCCTTTGGGGCTGCACTTTGGTGTTGCCTTGTGCAGTTCCTGCAGAAAGTTTTGGCCTTGAAGTCTGTGCTACATGCAGGCACAATTCGTACACTTTGGTGTTGCCTTGTGCGGTCCTGCTCCGCAAAAAACATTGGCCTTTAGGGCTGCGTGCTGCACGCCGTACAAATTCGTACAATTTGGCGTTGCCTCGCGTGGCGGAGTCCGTTCGAAGGGAACGATTCCTTCGGCGTCGGTGCAGCGTGGAAGCGGGGTTGGGCGTGGCACACGCTAAGTTGTCAGCGTGGGCCCATGCTCCGGGCCCCAGGCACAGCGACGGCGAGGGACGGCGTCGTGCTGGAACATCGCGCGAGGGTGACGCGGCCCTGAGTTGCGGCTACCGAAAGGCACAGATTGTGCGGCGCGGGAGTCCGAAGCGCACGATGCAACATTCAAGCTGGATAGGCGCGGTTCTGCATCGCTGCATGCCCGCACAGCCAGACAACGACTCTGCAATCTCCTCGCTGATACCTGCCAGATAGGGTGCCGCATTGTTGTGTGCTGAACTCGCAAACTACGAAGCCAATCGACTTGCTCACAGTTTTGGGGAAGGCCTCGCAGCATTGACTGGATGCCCTCCAAATCGATTGCCCCCGGCATCCGGCGTTCTCCGCTGAAATTGGCTCTCCAACTGGCAGTGTGAACAGTTGCCTAGGAACACGCCTTGGTCAGGCATGGGAGGCCATCTGCCAACCACCAGATCGGCGGGGAACCAATTCGCACATCAGTTCTCAGACCTGCCCCCGCCGAATGGACGCTCGCAACTCGCCCACACCGCCTGACATTCTTCTCCGTTTCGGCAGCTGCTGCGAGGCGAGGAAAGTCAGTGCCCGGAGATCCTGGACGACGCGGACTGCTACTACTTCGAGCCCGCCGACAAATACTACACAAAAAATTCGGACTTGCTGAGCTTTGACGATGCGGAGGAGGCCTGCTCCAGCATGGGCGGCTCCCTCGCCGACTTCGACGACCCACAGGAGAGGGATATCGTGTCCGCCCTGGCCTCCAACGCGGGGTCCTGGATCGGCCTTGTCTTTGACGAAGATGCCGGGGAGTGGCGTTGGCGGGACGGCGAGGTGGTTTCTCCGAATTCCACGATTTGGGTCTTCCGGAGTCTCCGCAAGGAGTCCAACGAGGGCAAGATGTGCGCCAGCATGGACCGCCGCGGTGTGCAGCACAACGTGCACCCTGAGGACTGCTCCCTCCCCTCCTCCAGCATCTGTGAGTTCTCTCCTTCGGACATCCCCAAAGTATGCGAGGTGAGCTTCTGTTGCAGTGCAACGCACTGAATTGTGCATGGAACATGATGGGCTTGATGCGACGCGCGTCAAGCAGGTTTGTTCATTAAGGGTTGAGAACAACAGCGAATCCTGGATATGAAACACTCTGGTGTCCTCGCCCGTATCCTGGATATCGGCAAGGTGCGGCCTGAATTCGCTTACCCTGTATACGGCGCCCCTGTAGAGGGTGTCGCCTCATGTTGGGCATGGCCAGTATGTCGCATACATCTCCATGCCGCTCACACGGAAACCCAACTTTCTCCGAGGAAGTCGTTGAACAGCAGTCGTTTCTTCGGCTGGAGCTCATAGTTTGTGCCATTAGCCTGCAAGCTATGTAAGGGAATGTTATGCCAACATGGCTTTAAGTGTGTTGCTTTGGCATCTTTGACGTCTGCCTGCCTAGGGCAGTGTCGTTTGTTGCCTCATATTTCGTATTGCATGAAGTTCGCTTCGTTGGGCCTGACCGACATTTGCTTTAGTCCGACCGGCAAACAAAAGTGCTTTGTGCGACAACGTGCGAATCACAGCGAAGAGGCACGCTGCAAACGGATTAGAGAAGTTCCCGTGCATGGCGATATACGTTATAGTGAAACGCTCGATGAAAACCTCTAGCATACTGTGCCAATTGCACCTATTTGGTGACTTGAAGTCTCAGAACTCGCCGGGCGCTCTTCAGGCTTGCACCTTAGTTCCTCTGGCCGGAGGAGATGCCGTGTGCAGGCGTGGAAAGCGATCGACGGACTCCAGGATTCAGGTGCATTGGTCACGTATGACTGACTTTTGGACTTGTCGATTGCTGTGACACCAAGCTGTTGCTGTAACACAGCCTCTCAGTCTTTCGATTAGCTCTCCATGAGGAGCGACGAGAAGCTTGAAGCCTGTGACGATTTTCGTCTCATGTGCGACGACAGCCGATATCCAGTTGGTTTTCTGAATTGGTGGGGCCCTCGATCTCCCTCACAATTTATGTTTTGCTGCGGTTTGGGGTGCTCTCAAATTCTCGTTCTGACGTTGCGCTGTGGCCGCCTGGTGGGGCGCAGGATGACAAGAAGCTGATCAGGGTGGACAGCAATCACGAATACAAAGTGCGCCCACTGTCAACTTGCCGGTCAGTGGAGGAGAGCAGGTTGGGCGTCACAGCAGTCAGCCCAGCGGCGGAATCTCTCACAGAAGAACAGACGATCTGCCCCATGGGCGATCCCAAGACCACCTTCGAGGCACGGTGCTGCGACGACTGCCAGGCATAGGGACGTTTTGCCATGCCTTTTTTGTACTAATTCACCTCAAGGCTTAATCCGGTCCTGCTTCCATCAGCATTGAAATCGCAAGCTGCTTTTTTGGGTCCATGAGCTCCAGGAGCGCGTCATTTGGCATTCCTTGCAATGACGGATGCTTCCAGGGCGGCTGGTGCGGTCGCGTGGTGACTCAAAGATGGCTGACTCTCAATCCGGAGGCTTCTAGATCATGCTGCCTCTCGCGGCGCGCTGTTCAGCCAGGAACACAAAAAAACGCTTTTGGACATATACATGTTCGTCATCGCCTGCAAGGTGCCATGGCCTCTTTCGGCCTTTTGAAGTCTGATTTAAAGAAAGACATTGGGCTGGTTGCCGAAGCTTTAGATGCAATCCACAAAGGACGCGGCCCTTGCTGCGATGCTCCCACGCGAGAATATATTAGTCCCTCTGTCTTCCGTGAAGATCCCTTCTTCTTCCGCTGACAAGGCCAACGTGGGTCAGTGATTCAGTGTTTGTTTTTAGGATTTAGGGTGTCTAAACGAGAAAAATCCTCGCGGACAAGACGGAGCGACTAACTTCATGCCCTCCCAGGCCGCGCCACTGATCAAGAGCGCGGCAATCCAGCCAAATGAATGGCGATTCTTACATCGCGGCTACGTCAGCACAGCGCGGCGCCCGCGGCCTCCACCCGCGAAGGTCCCGGGCAGCTGTGCCTTTCGTCACGCCATTGGCACAATCCGCATACCGCCGCCTCCCCGCCGACCCCCGGGCCCAGCGAGGGCGGCTCGGCGAATCCCGCCGCTGGGGCTTCTTCGAGGGGCCCCCGGACGGTCTCCTCACTCTTTCGCATCCTCGCCGTGGCTGGCACCCATTCCGTTCGCCAGCCACCGCGCGCATTCCTCGCCCAGCTCTGCGACCGCCCGGGCCTCGTACGCGGCGCACTCCTCGCCGCTCAGCGCCTCCGCCCAACGGCCGTTGGTGCCCTTGTTGATGAATGTGTCCACGCCGCCGTCCCAGAAGGCCCCGCCCATCACCACGACCTTGTCACCGTGCTGCCGCATCCAATCCATGGTGCAGTGCTCCTGGATGTCCCCCCAGGCCTCATCCCTGACGCTCACACCCAGAAACTCCGCCAGCCGGGACGCCTCCCCCCTGAAGTCCCGCTTGAGGTCGGCGTAGTGCACGAGGTGGACGTTGGGCAGGCCGCGGATGGCCCACCAACCTCTGACAAACTCCCAGAAGGGCCACCAGGGGTGGCCATCGCGCTCGAACCACTCGCGCCAGTACACGCGGACGTCGGCCGGCGGCGGGCCGATCGGCGGGCCCACCAGCCCGGGCGCGCCGTTCAGCGCGTCGTACCACAGCTGGTTGGCATGGACGTGGTGGTTGTGCAGGCTCCAGATCACGTCCCGCGCATCCCGCCCCACGAACACGTACTTGGCCTTGGGCGAGAACACGAGGGCGTCAACGGGAAGGCAGGTCTTAACGCACCGGCGGCCGCTCTGTCCCTCCAGCATCGATGCCTTTACATCAGGCGGAGGGGCTCGCAGATCCACGAGCACCGCGTTCGTGGCCACGTCGGTGTCCGGGGAGCCGCCGGTCAGGAGCTGGGCGACGACCTGGCTCAGCCAGGTGGTGCCGCTCTTTGGGTGGCTGGCGATCACGATGTCGTCGTCGCGGAAGCGGAAGCCGTCCCATGCGGTGGAGTCCAGGTGGTGGTTGCGCACCTCGCGCGTCTTCACCGGCCACGCCACGCCTTCCGCCATGGGGCCTGCAGCTCGGAATCGATAGAGGACAAGGGCGAATAGCGATCGGTGCAGCCGGTTGCCAGCGGCTCGCAAGGCAATCGATGAATTGCTCAAGGAGAATGGGACCGGAGCTGCGTTGGCGTGGTTGTGTCCACCTGACCGGCCTCCTGAACCCACCGGGTCATGTTCCCGACACGACAAGACATTTGCAAACGTATAAAAAGGTGTCCGTCACCACTGTCACAAATACCCGAGGCCCCCCGTACTTAACAGTTTGCCCTTTCGCTTTGCACACACTTATAATCGCCAATTTTGTCCCGTGACTCAGTCCTGAGTCAGCCCCCAATCCAGTAGTTCCTTCCACACCTTCCCTCTATCTCTCTTAACTCAACCGAACTCCACCGTCCAGGGCGGGAGGGACGCGTGCGAAACAAGATAGGAGGGGGACCGAGGGGGGAGCCTAAGTAGCCGCCCCGGCTCAACCCCGCCAAAGTCCAAGGGCGCCAAACTGACTGCACCTTGGAAACTACGTACTTTGACTGACCCAAGGTACTAGAGGGGCCAGAAACCCGTCTTAATTCAACTGCTACTGATTCGAATCATCGGCGCAGCCCACCCAACGTCGTCCTTGGTGGAAACATATTAACCAGATAGTTAATTGCGTAACTGGACCTGCAGATACAGATACACGGGTACAGTGTTGTTGTTGTAACTGGAATTGATCGAGTACAGGATTATTGAATACTGTACGTTTAAAGATGTTACGAGGTGATTAACAAGATAGTTAATTGCGTAACTTGACCTGCAGATGCAGATACACAGCTACAGTATTTTTGCAACTGGAACTGGTCGAATACAGTATTATTGGCAGCTGGACACTTAAAGATGTTACGAGATGAGAGTCGCTGGCTGTTTCGCCACTGGGGAACCGGATCCGGTGAAGACGGTCTGCGAACGAGCTGGAAGCAACGAAGACAGGAGTAACAGACAGATGCCAACACAGCGATGTCCCTTTACGGCCAGGCCATCGATTCAGTCCATGCGTCATGATTATGTCACATCATGCGGCATTAGGAATCGCATTAGGGACTTTGATGAAAGGACTGGATATAAGGGACACGTTCACCGTTGACCCTTTGCACCGCTGTAGACCGTTACCGTGTACCCGAGCCTACGGGCCCCAGACGTCGCCAGCCTCGACTTTGCCTGCCTTCGTCAATGTACTATGCAGCTTTGTGCTGAGGAACAGCACTGTGCACGGCGGAGCGCCCACGTCTGTATTGCAGTCGACAAACCTTGCAGGTCTGCCGCGCGCATCCCCCTCTGGAATGAAAGCTGTTGAACAGCTTTGACAAGTGCATCCTCCGCTAGGGCACAGCATCCATCAAAGTAGCACGATAGATCTATTGTGCGTCCAGATGCCCGGCAAAGGTAACCTGGGATCCCTCCCATCCATTGAGACCTTCCAGCGGAGCGCAGGCACTCGCTCACGCACCTTCACTGACCATCTGTCCAATGAACAACTGCCCGAGAGGTGCTTTGGGCGCGACAACGGGCACTGGCTTGCATGGGCTTCCCTGGCATGAATCGGTACCGATTCATGCCAGGGAAGCCCATGCAAGCCCACCGGTGGGCGGTCCTACCAGCTCCTGTGAGACGTTCTTTCAACTTCTTGGTTGATTCAAAGGGATGCAATCCAGCCTGTTACAGAACCCGCGTTTGCTCGACTTGCATCCCTCCCCAACGTTGATTTCGCCCCCCGCTCTCCCCTGCATGGCGCGCAGCGTGCTGCTCTGGTACTTTTCGGAAGGGTGGCTCGATTTCTTGCTTCGGACCGTGTGGAATGGGAACGGCGCCGAGGGAGCTGCGGCGCCACAGGCATAGTCATTGGGTTAAGGACGTCAGAATGGGCACGCTGGTGTGACGTCCACAGCCGGGAGAGTGGCGTTACAGTGTTGCAATCCTCAGTCTGGTGGGCAGTGAGCATGTGGCTACACCATGCCATAATCCAAGCGCAAGCAATCGGTTGCTTTGACAATGAGCAGCAAGGCTGAGCACTGTGTATCACAGCGGTGTGTCGATGCAATAGATGGCAGCTGTGTTGCCCAGCAATCTGTTCAGCACCATTTGCGCTTTCGGACAAGGGAGGCGGATGAAAGCTTATGTGTAAATGCGCAGGCAAGGTGAATAGATTCCGTACGCGACGACAAGGCAGCTGCATACATCTTGGACTGCTGTCTGGTACGCCTGATGCGATGGCATTAACAAATCTCAATGAAGGGGAACCCCCTTTCCAGGACAGCTCTTCTGTGTGCTCTCCTTGACCTTATGCACAGGGACCATCAATTTCCACGCCACGTTCAAAAGGGAACGGATGAGGACTGGGCCCACTTTCCAGTCCACCTTGCCTCGCAGTGCGGGGCAATAATTCCACTGCAGCGCTCCTCGGTGATGAAGGTATTGCAGAGGGCCGCGACATCGCGGCTGCTTGTGCCCCCACGGAGCGCCCCGGATATGCTCATCATATTTACATTCCTCAAAATGACTCTCGACATCCCCCTGGAAGAGAACCACTTCAGTCGCTCTGCCACCGCCGCCAATTCCTTTACCCCCTGCTACCCAGCAATTAAATCCCAAGTACAATTCCATCGTTTCGTTTCCTGCCCCCCCCCCCAAAAAAAAAGAAAAAAACAAGAACGAAAAAGCCAAAAAGAATGTTCCCGAATTCCGAATTCCGAATTCCGAGGCCGCCTCAGAGCGCATCCAAGGTCACCTCTTGGCCCCGGCCGCCCCGGCGGGCCGCCTGCCCCACAGGTCCTTCAGCACCTCGAACCGTGGCGGCCCCTCGTCCCCGCACCGCTCATACAGCGCGTCCAACTCATCCAGGTCCTCCTCGCTTTCGCTGTCCATGTCGACGGCCGCGCCCTCGTCCAATCTTCCGATCGCGGCCGCGTCCGGCTGCTGGTAGGAGATGCGCACCTCCAGGGCGGGCGACTTGGTGTCCTTGAGCTCGGCATCCAGCTGCTCTTGCACGGCTGGCGTGATGGGCTCGGGGGCGAAATCGTCTGGCTGGTACCGCTCCAAGATGCAGCACATCGCCCTGCAGAGACGCCAAGACGTCAAAAGGGAGTGCAGCCGCAAGGAAAGCGGAACGGCTGATAATACCCATGCCTGGTGCGTGGGCAATTTCCGTGCCATGCCCTGGGCCTGAGCTGGCTATGTGACAATCCCTTCTGATGCGCTCTCAAGTAGGAGGCGCGACCAGAAACCACAGACACTACGGGAGCAGGCAGTTACAGTTGCAAGCAGAGCCAGGCATCACAGGACAGCCACAGCATGGATGGTTTATTGTCAGGTTTAACACACGTGGTGGCAGTCGACGTTTTTCCGACGTGCAGAGTGCTGTAAGAGCGTCGTCCAATAGCACACTGGTGATGTGATGCAAAATGAGCGCCCAGGAGCAAATTTAGGGAAATGCGGCAAAGAATGGCGGGTGTGGGCGGGGCACCAGACGAGGCAATGTCACTGAGGCAGTGAAGGGAGAAGGATACATTCTGCTTCTTTGTGCAGGTGCACATGGTGATGGGTTGTGATGGGAATTGGGGTGGGAAAAGCCCAATTGGAAGGCCCATAGAGGTGTTTAAGGGATCGTGACAGATTCTAGTTTGTGCAGTTACCCACTGGATCAAGACAGCTGTGGGCTGAACAATGGAAATGCGGATCAGGTAGTAATAGCTTGACATCAAAAGAGCTAGGCGATCATCCGTTTTTATGCAAATGCTGCAATGGCGCTCAGAATTGTAGCAACAAGTGTTGAGGGCCTGAAATGGACCTCAGAATGTGCACGTCACAAAACTGGGGCATGGGCAGCGCATATGTCCGTCATCATCATTATGGGGGGCAGTTACCATCAGGATGTATCTGGGCATGTGATGGCGATTCTAACCCAAAGCGAATAGCCCACAAACTTGGAACACCCATTGCACAGGGCACAGTCTATCATGAAGGCCATACCCTTCTTGGATGGTTGGCAGACCTAGGGTGTCTGCTCATGCAGGCAACTCACCCGAGTGACAAAGCAGCGAAAATGTCATCCCTCACACCCTTGTCAGTGAGCAGTTCTTTGGGCATCATCAGCAGGTCTGCAGCCGCTGTCAACAGAGGGAACAAGCTGTGGCTGGGCTCGCTGCCAGTGGCATCAACAGTGAATGCCCATTCACTCCACCTGCCAGACAAAACCATCATCGCTGCTCAATGTTCAAAGTCAACTGCTGTGAAGATGAACAGGAAGCAAATTTACTCCTCAAGTTTGTACACAATATCAGGAGAGCTCCACAAACAGGAGAAACTGGAAAGCAGTTTGCAAAAACTGAGCTGTTCAAGATCGTCCACACAATCCCGCTACTGAATCAATGGTGCATCCTGTTGACTACAACTTCTGTCACAGCAATTAGGCAGGCTGCTGACAGCTGTTGCACTCTCACAGTATTTACTTTTCACAACACAGCAGCAAGCCTTAACATACATGCTCCTGGGGAACTGCTTGTAAAGTACAGGCACGTGTCGTCAAGAAACTTGATAGTGGCTCAAACGACTGTACCCATTTATGCACATTCAAACGTCAATCCCTGAGCCTAGTGTCCGTGACTCTGCACACTTGCGTTTTTTCCCTTCACACTTAACGGTAGCTGCAATATTTGGTTCATCGGGACCTGCACATACTAGGGAGATACTTCCTAGACATGGTGGTGTACCTGACACGATGTTTCAATGCACCATTGCTGAAGAAATACACTTCCCATACCCAAGTATGGTCCATACTCCAAGCCAGACGTTGCATTGGCAGCACACTGTTTGTGTTCAATATTGACAAATGGATGCAAGGACAGCACTTTGCAGTGTTTTGACACATGTCACAAAAAAGTATGTCACTTCTAGGCCATTATGAGATTTTCACGTTGCAGGTATCAAACGACGTGAATCAAATGGGCCTTGGTAGTAACAAGTAAACTGACAGAAATGTGCAATGCCATACCTCGTCACTGCCATCTTCAGGTTCATGCCTACTCCAAACGTTAAAGGTCCCCTGTTGAATGGCAGCATCGAGTCCTCCAAGATAGGCCACCCCTCTGACCCGCCGCCCATAACATCGTCCACCAGGGCAGTCCCCATGGTTTCAGAGGATGCCCGCACAACGATGCCCTCACCATCCTCCCCTTGAGCATCTGCACGGAACAAGCCATGGTTGTCAACGACCACAGACAACTGCCAGTCAAAGGCGTGTGCCACAATGAGGTTTTGTGCACAGTCGCCATAGTCGGGCTAGAATCTACAACCACACCCCTAATGTCATGAATCGCTGGGGGAGGCCAGCAACATTGAAACTTCGTCCTCCTCTGCACTGCTGGGCTTTTGGGCATCTCTTCGCTGCTCTGCATATATACCAAGCCGACAGCTTTTCTTGCAGGCTCTCCAAGGGGCACCTTCAGATCAGTGTTCAACAGCAGATGCTGTTGCCTTATCGACTTTGGTGCTGGTGGAATGTTTGGATGAACTCTTTACCAATGCAATCAAAGCAGGCTTAGAAACAGAGAATCAGCAGTGGCCTAGGTAGTCGAGTTTACTGCCCTGTGCTTTCTTGTGATAGGGAAAATGTTGCCTTCCATCTGCATTCTGCCCTCATTCAGCAGATTGTTTTATGTTTGGAATGGGAAACAATGGTAGCCTTATTGAAATCCTAGGATCAGCTTGGACAGGTGAAATCGTGAAATCGGATAGGGTTGCTGTGTCTGTGCATTCACTGTGGTATGTACACAAGCGAAGGTACAACAAACAAAAATTGCATTCAGCGGTGTCCCCCGCCATTTATCCTCCATTTGAACAGGGCTCCATAAAGGATCTACGTACAACCCGCAAAGTCAATTGTGATGCATTTCACCTGAAGCACTGTGAACACTCCGGACATTGCATTACTCACCCGCCAGCATCTCCTGGAACAGCATCATGTCCATTCTCTTCATGCAATTGCGTAGCACTTGAGTTTTCAGGAGGGGCACGTGTCCCTCCAGCACCTTCCCAGAGGAGCACAGAAGGAACTGCTCGTTGACAGCGTTCAGGGCAGTAAGCCATCGACTGACGGCGATGTCTGTCTCCGGACCAGGACTGCCAACACTGCTGCAGGAGGAGGTCTGCTCACAAGTGGACATGCACACACGTGTCAGGACCTGCACTCTGCAATTGCTGTGACTAAACGTGCACTGCCATAATTAGTACTGGCCCTGCACATGCCCATCATGCCCATAGTCGAGGTTCGAAACTTCTAACAACTCTCAGGACGCAAATGTAAGCATTGCCACTGCCATCAAGCCACAACGACAGGACGGGTGTCACCCAACATGTCCAACATTATGGGCAACTTTGGAGCTGCAAAGCAGCAGGAACTCAAAAAACAGGAACAGGAACTTGGGCATGTGTGTTGCTCACCATACGTGCCATCCTTCTCACAGTCTTAACTGCCTCTGACATCAGCACCTTCCACCACAGGTACTGCTCCACCCTGTCAAAGATGTACTTCTCCAATCTCACCACCTGTGGGGTGAGTGCTTTCACTGCCCAGTGGGCATCCTTGACTGAACTCGTGGCAGCAGCCTTCCCTTGCCCTGGCCCCGCCTCCCTGCCAGCCTTTGTAGCAAGTGTAGGCAGCAACAGTCGCAGGTGGACGCAGTTGGTCCACCAGAAAGAGGCAGCAGATATGTTGGTGCCAGCACCATCTACCATGGCCTTGATTGCCTTGAGCGCATTTCGGCCCACCACAGCACCCTGCTCTGGGCCCAGGGCCACCACAGTTCGTGCGATGCGGCGGGCGGGGGCATGAGTGTTGCGAGCCTTGTCCCTATGGCGGCCTGCACTCAGGACATCCAGCATCGTTTAGCTGGCTCGTTCTAAATTGCTTGGTAGTGCGTGTATGCAGAAAGAAGTACCACAAATCCAGTGTGCTCACTGTGTTAACTACATGACACAGCACCACAGGCAGCATCAAATCCAACGGTAAAGCGTGGCAGGATGGGAATCTCATCCTGTTGATCTCTGTCACAGCCATGCAAAGCTTGGGAATAGCACTGTCATGAAATGAGCATTGCAGACTAGGTGTCCACTTTGGGATCGATGCCCAAGCCCCATCCAACCCCACCCCCATCCACAAACCCAACCTTTTTGTGCAATGTACACAAAGTCTATGGATACAGCATTGGTGGGTGAGGCTCACTTGACTTCACCAGTGCCACAGCCTTGCAAGCAAATCGCTGCATGCCCATTTTATACCAACACCTTACCAAAACACTGCAAACAAAAAGCGCCAGTGAGAGACAGATTGCATCATTGTTTCTGGAAAGATGCAGTCATCCAGCTCATTGCTCGGTTCTCGGTAGAAACACATACCCGATCGCGCCAAGTACACAGATGCCTCAAGGAAAGCAGCAGTTCGTAGTTGCTGCATTCCCGATTCATCCCTTGCTGGCACAGCAGTCTTTTCCCTTGGAACCAACACAAGGGCGTGAAAGTCAGGACGCTATCACAAATCCAAGCCAGACATCAGACTGGCTGAATGTGTCAGCACGCTCAGCACCCTTGAAGTCCTGCTATGAATCAATGGCTGCGCAAGAGAGCACAGGGTCTGCGGTATCTCAAGTTGGGGACCAAATGCGGAGTTCTTGCAGAACACAGTCTTTTCATCAATAGCTTGAAATCAAGAGATGTGACTGAAGGTGGTGCACTGGAAACAGTGCAAGCTGCCAGCGTGAGCAGATGCCATTCTCACCTCTGCAAAGGAATGCCCAGGATGGCCTTCCTTGGAGCCTTCTCTGCATCCTTAGTCTTCCCAGGGGTGGGTGACTTCTGGCCTTCGTTCTGCTTGTCAAACACACGTGCCCACCTCCGAGGGGCACGCCCCTGTGCAGCGTTTGTCGATGGCTCAGACGCCGTTGACGGCGATCTCTTACCTGTTCTCGACTGTTCATCGGGCTTTCCTCGATCCAGAGGTTCGGGCAGGCTTCTGCGGGCATTCTTGGAGAGCTTAGGCTCCTCACTACCAGTCCCAGGTCGAGCACTGCGGGCGCCTGGTTCGCTACGCCGGGATGGCAATGGTTTGGGGGCACTCTGCTGGGAACGTACCACCTCTGCTGTGGTCTCCTTCACGGGCAGGGGATCAGCTGCACTTTTCTGAGTTTGTGCAGTTTCTGTAACACTTGGTGTCGATGGCAGAGATTCTGCTGCGCTTTTGCGAGACGCAAGGGATTCAGCTGCACTTGCTGCTGATGGCAGGGGGTCGCCTGTGCTGCGCCGAGACACCACAGGCTGATTAATGCTCCGACGGGAGTTCATGGATCCTGTCCTGCTTCCCCGCCGGGACTTCAACGATTTCAAAGATCCAGCCCCACTTGTGCGGGATGGCAATGAATCAGAACTTTGCTGGGCTGGCAGAGACTCAGCGTCGCTGTTTCGAGACTGCACAGATTCAGCTTCTGATCGCTGCGATGGCATTTTCTTGATTGCTGCAGATGCAGCATCCTTGCCTTGAGACCCACCAACACTAGCAGGATTGCTTGGATTCACTTTCTCTTCTGCGAACGGTGACTCCATTGCACCTTTCCCTGAATCATGATCGCTGTGTTCACTCCCTGCACTGCCTTCCTCCTCTTCTTCCTCCCTCCTCTCATCCTCGTCGCTGCCCAAGGCGTTGAGGAGGCTACGGGCAGCCTCCTGCACCTCCTGCTCTCTGGTCTTCTTCTCAGGGGCCTTGCTTCCCCGGCCACTCCCGTCCAAGGCAGAGGCGAGCCACGAGCTGACGCGATCGGTAGGACGTGGTGGTGGGTTTGCGCCCGAGGCGTTGTTTGCCGGAGGGTTGGGCTCACTGTCAAGATCGCTGTCCCGGAGAACGCCATCAGCGTCATAGTCCTCTGCGATAGCATCATGCTTTGCCCTCTGTGCGCCACCATGCGTGCCGTCATGTGTCCCAGTGTGCGTCATGTCAACTGAATGCCTGTAAGAAGTAGATGGGGCAGTCAGCTCCAAGTGTGCAACGGCATCTCATGGCCAAGAAGGAACGCTGATGCCATCGCATAGTTGGCAGAAGCATTCCTGTACATGGATATCGATGCTTGGCCAAAGATATGGCACAAGATGGTGGTTGTGACTTTCTATATGAATTCAAGACATGAAATGCAGCATGGTAGCGACCATGCTCTCTGAGGTCAGTTTAAATTCACATATAGGACTGCTGATAATCCAATGAATTAACAAGTTTGTGCTGCTTGCATTCTGCCTGGAAAGAACCACACTACAAGGGTAATGTACATCTTCCACTGTTCAGAGGTGCAGCCAACACTCTGCCATACTTCACGATACTTCAGGCACCATGGGTATTGATGTCAGAACACAATGCAACTGGTACTTGGCTTGTTCAATGCACCTTAAGTACTCTCGCTCGCTTTCTCTGATGGTGTTCAAGCGAGGGAAGTCAGTGGCAGGTGGGTTGGGACTGTCCTGGTAGGGCTCCTGCATCCCAGGCGTAGGGCTGTCTGCGCCTCCTGATGGTCTGTTGGCAAGGTGTTCAAATCCCTTTAGATCGTCGACTTGTTCACCTGTCATACTGATCTGCTGCTTCTTGGCATCCTTCTTGTCCTTCTTGTGCCAAAACGTGCTCAAGTTGGATGTCAATGCACTTCCTGAAGGCCACAAACTCCACATCACAACAAGAAGAACAACCACACTCCCTTGCTTGACAAAGATTGCAAGATAGTCGATTTTGTTCCCACAGGGATGCTCGGGCAACAGATTGGATGCCAGATGCAACCCAGAAAGATGGCTTCTTCTCCACATGAGCAAGACGCAGAATGCTATACGATAGTATATTTAGCATTTCCACACTTCACAAAGTTGGCATCGCTTTTCAAGGGGGTTATAGTCTTCCACATCTTGCCACAGCGGCATCGCCCAAACTTCTTTCTCTTTGCACATCACACCTCTACAGGCAGTAGAAGCATAACGATATGCTGGGTGGACCAGGGACTGTCAGCCAATTATGGGAAAGGTTGGCATCCTCCCATTGCCCTGGGATCCATTCCAAGCGTTTTGCGTACTGAGCCCACTTTAGTCAAGGCAATGCAGACACACAAGCATTTCCCATGCTATTGGCTTTATAGGCAACTTGTCACTCCCTGTTCTCATGGCACCGATGGTCGCTTGGCACAACGGCTTTGCAAGCCACAAAGCGGCGTTTACAGCCCAGTGCCTCTGAGTTCCGCCTCCCTGCTTTTGCAACAGCATTTCTGAGGGGTATTCCCTTTGCCTGTGGTCAACCAGGTAGGCTGCCAACATCAGCCTACTGTGCGCCCGCGTCTACCATGCACAAACATGGCCTGGGACAACTAACGAAACTCCCAGGTCGTTTGGCCGGTGCCGGCAAAGTGCACTCCGGCTCCGGGCTTTGCGTTGCATTTTTGGTGCAAGCGGCTTCTGTTTCCACATTTTTTCAGAGAAGTGTCACTCTTAATAATTTTTGGTTCAGCACAGCAGGCCCAAGCATCGTGTCGTATGTGGAAATGCCAAATGTCCTGTGGTAGTTAGTTGTACTTGACACTGACTTGACCTGGCCCAATTGACTAGTGGGAATTAGGGTACCATCCATCTGGAGCAGTATCCTAAGCATACTGCTAGCAGAGGCGACTTCAAGGGCTGTTTCACATCGCAAACGCAACTAGGGCACTTAGGACAAAAGCCTCAACTTTTGATAGCAACCACAACATCGAGGACAGCAAACCAAAGGGTTCCACAAGGGCTGAATAACATAGTCGCTAGTTCACAACACGATCTCACTGCTCCTTGCAATTTCAGCATAACGACAGCAGCAGAGCCAAAGATGAGAAACCAAGTGAGAGATATCAGAGACGCCAGTGTCATGCTTGTAGTCTCAACAACGGCATGCTTTGAGACCCGGGAATCTCTTGAGAGTCAATGCCACAGCCACCCACCTGTGGTATCAGAGCTGTGCGAGCTGGCAGCGCTCCCAGGCCCAGAAGCCCCCTTCCATGTGCACCTGTGGCGCACAGCTGCATTACCCTGTGCCCACCAGTTCAAGATTTTGTGCCCTGTGCACCCCACCCACTCCCCACAAGGAAGATCAAGCACAACAAACACCAGCCAACCGCTGCAACCGGCTGGACTGTGCCCAATGGATAGCACATGCTGAGTCCACTTAGAAAACACGACTTTACCACACACTTGAACGCCCACCCATCCGGCAAGCTGCGCTGAGACACAAGCTCGGCTCTCCTCGCACCCCTGCCCCACCGGCACCCCTTCCCATTATCCATTATTTGACTTGTTGCCCCTCCCTGTCGAACAGGCTTCCCTATGATCGATTGCTGGCCAACTCAAGAGCCTGCAAACGAATACGCCCAGGGTGATGCTGCGCCAGTCATCGCCCACGAGGGCACAGAGCTTCGGCAATTCCAAGCAGCAGATGACAGACCGCAATCCACGGAATTCCAACCGTCCCCCCCCCCGTCGCCCGCCCCCCCCCCCCCGCACCTCAGGCTGACGCTCAGCTTGGGCGTGCCCACTGCGGACTGGATGGACTTGCTGCATGCGATGTCGAAGTCCTGCCTGACCTCGTTCAGCGGAGCCGCGTAGTGCGCCAGGTCGATCACCACGCGGCCCAGCGACTTGGTCTCCCCGGAGCGCTCGGTCTCCAGCACCGCCAGCACGATGGCCTTCTTCTTGAAGGGCCCCGTGGTGGAGGGCCGGCTGCCGCCGTCCTGCACCGGCAGGCACGCACGCGCCTCAGCGCCCCATGAACACCCAAGCCGGGCGCAACGGGTTCAATTGCGCATCCCTCCGCAACGCATCTTCAGCGCAAGGCCAAGGGGTGGGCGAGCTCCTGTGTTGATCAGGGATTGCCCAGTCGCTGGATGGGTAGAACTCCGAATGGAGGGAGCGCAAGAGACTGAAGGCCCGCATCCTAGTACTCTCCGATGACGTTATCCGCCCGACACTGCAAGCGCACTAACGGGGAGCGGGGGGGTGGGGAGGGGGGGGGGGGGCGCGGGCGCGCCTGGCGCTTCGCCGCTCACCATGTACATTGTCGCCGACAGCTGGAAGGACTCCTCGAACTCCACGGCGGCGCCCAGGCGGCCCGCCATCTGCTGCGGCATCTTAGACGCCGTGGCGCCGCGTTTGTTCTTCTTGGACCCTCGCTGCCATCCTATGGCCACCGCCTTGTCCACCGCGGGCCAGGGCGCCAGGCTGTGCACGCGCAGGCTAAACTGGAACCGCACGGCGCCCGAGCGCTTCTTGAACTTGTTCAGCATGGCGGCGGGCGGCCGGCGGCGGCGGCGGGGGAGGGCCTCGCTCCAACGCCCGCTCCGCGCCGGATGCCCCGCCTCAGGTCGCGTGAGGCTTTGCCTGTTTTGGGGCGGCCCCGCTGGCCCAATGTGGGGAATGGGACTGGGAATGCACCGATGGTCCCACGTCACGCAAGGGGGGGTGAGTCACCGGTGACCGGTGACTCACGCCCTGCAGCTGCCGACCCTCGCGGTTGCATGATGAAAGGTGGCGCCGTTTGGTGGCACCCGACGTTTTGCGTGTTCAAGGTACCGCAGTCTGACGGTTTGTGCATTCAAGGCACCGCGTCCGCTGACACGCAACGTTTTTGTGTGTTCAAGGTACCGCTGTCCGGCAGAACACAACGTTGTGCAACACAACTTGTGTTCTAACGTTGACTGTCTGTGTGTTCAAGCTGCCACTGTCCAGTAAAACACAACTGTGTGTGCGTGCAAGGTACCGCTGTCCGGCAGAACCCAGGTCCGCTGCGCCGCCCACAATTGCCGAGGTCCTGGGACAAATTCTTGTGGTCCGCTTTGTCGCGTGTGTGAGCGCGGTCCGACGGTGGATCACGTGAGAGTGAGCCCCGGCGCCCGCAAGCGCACATTCGTTGTGCGTGCGCGGGCGTTTGCATGAAAGTGCTGAAACGGCGGCGCCGCTGCCCGGCAAGTGCTTTCGCTGCCGATGGTGGTCCATCACCCCCTCTTGGCGAGGACATCAGCTTGAGCCCTTGCTTGGAGCGAGCGGCTCGTTTCCTAATCGGAGATTTGTAATCGCCGGGCTTGTGATGTATTGATTGAGGGGGGGGGTGTCAAGCCGAGGGCGGATGGGTGTAGTTTGGATCGCAACAGGGGCGCAGGCACTCTTCTTGTGTGATCAAAACCCAAGACAAATTAAATCGGATTTGTCTTGCTGGCGGATTGCCAGCTGCAGCTGCGGCTCGTATATGCATACATGCAGGCACTCGAACAACATTTCATGACGCCCTTGCTGCGCAGCCACCCATCCCATAGTGGTCCTGGGGGCGTCTGTCCCACTAAGCGGGAACTGCACCAGCAACAGTCTCACAGGAGAGGGCTTGTTGTTTACGGTGCAAACACCGCTCATGTACACGTACTTCGTTGTAGAACACGTGAAAATAGGTAAAAATTGCGTAAATATGGGCCCTGTGTGCATGCGACCAGGATGTACTGACTCGGGGATCCCCGATCGACTCCCCGGACTCTGGAGTCTGGGGAGTGGCATCCAGACGCGCGGGGGCCGGAAGAGCACAGCCATTTGTTCGACGACGTCGAACCCAAGGGCGAGGTGGATGCTATAATGTGTGTGCTCCAGGGGGCGGCGGACCGATCATTGTTTGCGAGTTTATCGCACTAGGGACAATAGGGCCAAACAGCACGTGCTCAGATGTGTGCAAAATTTACGGGTTTGGGTTATTTCCGTGTTTTGAGCATGCAGAACACTGACGAAATGCATATGTATGTGTGTTTGCAAAAAGTGTTATTTTGTCCTTTATTTTCTAGTGTCGTGTAACTTGGGTATGCCCCTAAATTGCGTAAATTTGGCCATATTAATGGGTGTTTCATTGTTTGCCTGGTTTCATGCGTCCGCACATAAACGCAACGTAAAAATGGTGCTGCAAACGTTGATAAAAAGCGTGCACAGGAGAATGATCACCGCTCCTCCAAATTCGATTGATCGGATCATCAATATGGTCGGATTCTTTTCTTTGCATTCGTCGATGCAAGAGAAAGCAGAGAAGAAAGCAAAAAAGCAAGAAAACGAAAAAGTGCAGACCCTACACTTGGCAGGCGATGACGGGCAAAATGCACACATGTTGCGTGTCCAAAATCATTTGCTCAGTTTCTTTGTCGGAGCAAACACAGAATCTCAGAACTTCATGGACAGCCCCTTATACTCCCACTCTCCATCATCCTTTAGTCCGTGCCTGGGCCTGACCAAACAATATTTGGTATTGCTCGCTTGAAATGTCATCAAATTAAATTGTGAGAGTGTAAAGTGCACCAGGACCTCTGTGCCCTCAATCTCGTGAACAGATCATTATGTAACCACATGTTTGGATAATCGCAGAATACTATACATGGTTTACATCGACATGAATCATTTCATGCCGCTCACGGCGCGATCTTATCTTGCCGTCGTCACAATGCTACCATGGTAAGACGTCCCTGGCAGACACTACAGTGCAAGGGTGGGCACAAACGAATGTGTTTTTCATGTTCACGTTCCGTTCGGGCATAAACGTCAACGGAACCTTAATGGCGCGCTTGCGTTCCCGTCTTCAAGATCCAGACGTACCACGCACGTTCGCGTTTCCGCTCCAGAACCCAAACGTGATGCACGCGTTGCGTTCACGTCTTGGTGGCATGTATGTCCAGCTAATTTAAATGTATGCTAGGTGTTATTGTTCGTCCCCACCGCTGGCCCGTCGCCGCACAGGAAAATGTGTTGGAGATCCAGCAAAGGCGATATGGATAAAGTATCTGAGCCAACTGCGCACCAATACATGCCAGCTGTGGCAGTGCGTTTGCCAAGCGATATTGCTGCAGGAACCCCACGTCTAAAGTGAGGAAGATCAGATCAGTTGACTAACGATTTGGGGAACGCTCGCATAAGCGAAACGTTGGTTTGCGCCCACGTTGCAGTGTTGCAAGCCCAACGTCGGGCTTGCGCTAACGCAAGGAACACGTTCGCGTTCCCGCTTTCACAAGCCAAGCCAATAGCAGACGTTCACGTTCCCGTTTTGAAGACCCAAACGTGTTGCAGACGTTCGCGTTTCCCTTCCAAAGTCTCAAACGCAATGGACGCGTTTGCGTGTCCGTCTTGGTAGTCTACGCCCACCCCTGCAACAATGGTCACTGTCTTCGATTCAATTGCCGACCGACGTTAGCGTGGCTTTGATGCATCTCTCGGATCGTCTCCAAGCGCGCATTTCAACTGGACTGTTCTGAACAAGATTGTGCCCTTGTGTACATGGTGTACATGCGGTGCACACCGCGTGGGAAGCTTCCCAAGGATGGGGTGCATTTGAATCGGTTCTAGCACGTTCCTGTGCTTATCCCGTTGAGCATCCAAGCTGTCAATTACTTCCCGTATTGGTAAGTATTACGTTGTTTTAGCTACACATCTCTAACGGCTTCGATAGTCCCTGGGATACGTCGAGAAGCGTGCTACAGTCGATTCTAATGCAGACTATTCACCGATTACTCTTTGCCGGGTATCAAGGCGCTTCCAGCGATGCGTCTTCCTTGTTGCGCTCATTCAACTGAGCATCATCATGTACATCACGTATAGTATTCCCAAAATTTCTTTCAATACGGAAGTGCCATTTGCATGGTATGTCTTCGTCTCAAGCAGATGAGCAGACGCAATCTGGATTGCGAAATTTAACTGGGATCATGATAAATTTCATCAAGAGTGCAGTACTCCATGGTACATCACTTTTACTGGGGGGGGGGCGATTTCATTCCGCCCTGAAAATGCGCAACGTTTCATAATTTTCAAGTTATAAGTTGTAATCACAATATAACTTCATCGATCAGCCCTTATGCTGTCAGAATTTCCCTTATGTTGAGATGGCAACTTGGTGGCATTGACCGATTAAGTGTGTGATTGCACTTGAGAGATGTTGCTTGTGCACGTGTAACGAATTGTGGTTTTGGCATGTGCTACGTCGCATTGCTGTTGGCCGCCCGTTGGCCGAAGGAAGAAAAGCTTCTTGCCATGTGGCTCAAGGCGAATTGCCAGCACAAGTTAATGCATTGGATTAATTCCCATTGCGCATTGCCGAAGAACGGGGTTATGCCTAATAAAATCTTGATTCATGCATGGACAAGTACACTAGAACTTCTGAACTATGCAGTTCTTTGTACATTGCGCAAAATTGCGCTCTTTTCTCAGTTTACGCGTTTAAAGGCCCTTCCAATTTGAAGACGCTGTTTTCAGCAAACCTTCCGCGAACTTCAATTAGAAAAAGGTGCAATATTCATTCGCCGTTGGGGGCAAGGGACGTTACTGTCATGCTTCCAGGCACAACTACGGTCCTGTCAGAGGGCAGCAGGTGGAGGCGGTAGGGGAGGGGAAGTGTCACATGTTGGCCCACATTTAGATGATATTGTAAGCCCTGGGGTCGTTGTTGGGATATACACGATGCAATGATGTACAATATGTGTCCCGTACCCATAACTTTCTCACACCTTTGCTTGCAACAGACATATTTGTCTCCCTGTGTCCCATAGCTGTCCATTTTTTCCCTTTTTCGCACTATTCATTAGGGAAGGCACTATGTCGAAATTGGTATGCTTGACGTCAACTTGTCGCTGGGGGGGGGGAGAGGGGGTGTGGTTCAGACCTCTGACGCTAAGGGTTTATTTAACTGTCACAAAAGACATAAGCTATGGACATCCCCAGAACGCCACTGATCAGCGGCAACCAACTTATGAATTACTATAAAAACAACCTCCCTGGAGCTTTCAATCTTCAAGAAGACCCCAGATTGTCTAAATTCAGAACCTCTAGGACTGCCCCCAATCGCTTGCCGCAGCCTCTAAAATTCCATTTACAGTCCTCAACAATCGGTGAAACTCTGGCTATTATCATCCTCAAAAACGCCTTGAAAATTTTGCCAGGTTATTAGGTAGTGGTAGTGAGTCATCCTGGCATCGACATATAGATTGGCACTAAGAATGGGGAGGAGGGGGGTTCTGATCTTAGCATCAAATTGACGCTAAGCGTACCAAAATCGACATAGCGTCTTCCTTTGCCATGTCCCTCCATTTGGGATTTCCCTGAAGAACATGACAGTAGAGCTTTAAGCATACGTACAATGCCTTCCTCCCAATTACATTTACTTTTGTCCACAACCTGGGAGCTCATTTCTTAGTTGGGGCCAGCCAGGGTGCACGAGCACCGGATACTGCCAGTCTGGTAGCAGTCGCCATGGATGCTCCACTGGACACTGTACAGTTTGTGCGCCTTTTAGTTGTTTGCAGCCTTGAGTAGTTGCCAGTGCCGCTGCATTGCTCCCATCCACCTACCCTCAACTCGCAATTCCAGCAATGCAGCACAGTACAGCAGATTTGTGAAGCTGGTGTCCCAATGACAGGGTGCTTCCTGGACCCTGCAGCAGGGCAATCAAGTGCAATAGCAGCAGAGTATCAAATTCTTGGCTGCTCTCCCCTTGCTGCTTGGCCAATTCCAGCTTGCTTTCCAACTCTGCCATTGAAACTCAACGTCATCAAAAGCTGAATGGTCCAAAGAAGGCAGCAGGAACCTCCCTAGCATACCACCCCACTGTACCCTCTCTATATTCAAGGGAGGGAGCTATTTTCTTTGCCCTCCCTTTGCAACGGTGCCTTTCATCCATGCCATGTTTCATGCTCCTGGGATTCCATTTGTTGCCCCACTCGCGTCACACATGTGAAGCCATCCAAAACTAAGTGCGCATCACCCCATCCCGGGCAGTCACTGCCAATCGCACCTTCCGTGAGACCCTCGCCACAAGTGCCATCAGGTCCCCTGGTCCTCCCTCCACGTTGGAAACATCCACGTCTGCAGGCTGCAATCGGGCACTCCTCACAGCGCAGGAAACAGGATCCAGGGAAACCTCTAGTAAATGCTCCACAAACGATGGTGTCACGTTCTCCTTGTCCACCAGGCTGGTGACAAGTCTAATCTGCACACAGTCCTGCCTCACGGCCACGAGCTCCTGCCCACACAGAGAGTTGACCACAGATGTGATTCTGTCCCCATATTTGACCGCCTCCCTGTGGCGATGCTCTGCTTTGGCGATGGCCTGCTGCTTGTCGCGCGCCATGGCCAGCAGGTGCTCCTTCTGGGTGGCCAGGTTGCTCAGCTTGCTGTTGTCTCTGTCAAGCTCCTCCAGCAGGTGCTGACCCCTCTGCTCCGTCTGCTGCGCTTGGGAGGTCAGGTGCACTCCAACCTACGCAAGACACCATGACAACAAATTAGCTTGCTTGGAGCCAATCTTGGATCACGGACACTGCGACTGGCATAGGGATCCCGATAATGAGGGCAGCAGATCAACTTGCCATCAATGAGAGTGCAGGGAGTATCAATGCCAGAAAGTGTGCTGTGTTTGTCCCCTGACAGTCAAAATCTGCACATGGGCCCACAATCTATACCCTGAGTGGCGAAACTGACAACAGCAATGGGGACAATCTTTCCTGCACACCTGCAAATGCCAGTGAAAGAGCACACCCAAATCAGACCTGGAATGTGCAGACAGCGATTTCGGCTTCTGCAACTGACAATGGCCAACTGAAAGAGCCCTGCACAGCCTCCTCAACACTATTGGGAACATTGATTTCCGACTTTTTTGGTTTGCGGCAAGTAAACACCATGAGATAGGCATTGTGGATGGAATATGCTGTTACTGCCATGCAGATATAAGGGTAGCTGTTTGGCAGTTTTGGACAAATATAGACAGAGGAATTGCGCCACTGCACTGGGCTCATAGAAAAACTCCAACAACTTGACCAGTATGAGGCAGTGTTGTTGGTTTCCATGGACAAACATTGTTGGGTGAACTGGACACAACATCGTTGAACAACACTGCCTTGATGTACAAATGGGCATCAAGGTCCTGTGTACTATGTATGCTTGAAAGTGACAGACTTGAAGGCATGGGCATGGCTCACGACAACACATTTACACCCACTGCCCTCGTCACCTTTAGCTTCCTGTCCAGCTCCGCCTGCAGCTCACGCTGCCTCTTTGCCAGTGCCTCCAGGTCACGCCCTGAATCTCCCCGAGGTGCTTCCAGCATCGCTCGCAAAACTGCCCGACCCTTGCCCACCTCCCGCTCCACCCCCTGATGCAGGAAGAAAACAAAGGTGGTTCGTGCTTGGTGGTTTGCGCATGGTCTCAAGTTTGGAATGGGGCTTGAGATGCAGTGTCTTGCAGACCTCATTCAGTTCCTTATGTATTCAGTTCCTTATATATTCAGTTCCTTATTTGCAGATACTTACTGCTGTCATGGCCTTGTAAACTGCATGTGAAGCTCTCTGTCAATATTTGGCAGAGTATTCAGCAGACTTGCCCACCTCAAGAAGGTTGAGCTGCTCCTCCAACGCTGCCATCACCTCGTTGCGCTGATCTGATAACCTCGATTTGGCGGCATTCAGCTCCTCTCGTGGACCCACCACCTCACCAAGTTGTGCCAGAATGCTCTCCTCCTCACCTGCAAGTGCAGCATCGCGTGATTTGTGCCAAAGCTTTCTTGTCCTGCTTTCTCTTTTCCTCTATTTTTTTGAAAAGCGGTGGGCAAGAGGAAGGAAACATTCATCGTGGCCCATTATGTCGGCATGAACTTGCCTAATTGCACATGCGCGTGACACTACCAAGGTGTTTGGCCACATTTGCCTTGTACCATTACGATCCTTCACTCCTTTCTGTTGAAGATAATCACCGCTTGCAGCCACAAAAATCCATCACAAAGCGGAAACAGGGCTTGTTTGGCAGCCCGCACAATGTCAGTCACCGTACAATCTCACAGGAACAAGAAGCAAGACGTGAAAAGCGCACACCCGCTCCTCAAGCGCCCCCACGATTTTTCGCCACGCTTAGTTCGCTCTGTCGGACCCCCACACACCCAATTCCTGGCACCCCCTCCCGAAACACGCACATCAAACTCATCCCTTGGCCGCCGAAAGCCACGAAGCACCCCTCAAGGGCACCGGCAGCGGCGCAGCGCCCGCCGCCCGACATTCCCACCTCGGCACAAGGCCTTGCCTTGCCATGTCGAGAGAAAAATGCAGTCGAAAATTGCAAACAACAAATTTTGCAATCGACCAATGCAATCAAAAATTTGCAATAAAAAATTGCAATCAAAGCATTCGGACACGTGCCTGTGGGCGCCCCATTGGCAATGGCCTGCCCCCAGCCCGAGTGCGCCTCATGCCACTGGATCTTCACCTCCCTGAACTTCCTCCTCGCCTCCTCCAGGTCCTGCGGCCCGCCTCCGTGTGCCCAGTCCCCCTGGCCCGTGGCCAGGACGCTCTCCGTGCGCCGCCGCACGGCCTCCTCGATGCCGTCCAGCGCGGTCCGCAGAGCCTCGACGGACGGCCCCGCCGGATCGCCGCGGCCCGGAGAGGGGATGGGCGGCACCTGGCCCTGGAAGTGCAGCTCCGGGTGCAAGAAGGAGGGCTGCATGGCGCGGGGGTGGCCGCTGGGCCTGTCCCGGCGTCGTGGCAGGTGGCGCGCGCTGGGCCGCTCCCGCGAACTCGCTCCCAGGTGCCAGGTATTGCAGGGAGGGTGCCAGATATTACGCTGATATGATGAAGATGGATGCGGCTGCTGGATAGAATGGTACTTCAAGGGTTGGACCACCGCCTTCCTTGCTCCTGGCCAGGTGGTTTGGCACAGCAGTGGGACGTCCTGTCGGATGTCTTTTAAACTACTAAACTTTTCCACATAATAACGTAACACTTGGCCATTTTCTGCGGAGAAAATATTATTATAAGTAACGAAAATCTTCGCCTTTCGGTGTGGAGCAACGTAAAAACAAATAGAAATAATGCTCTGAAAAACAAAATGCGGAGCCAAAAGCATAATGGTGAAATTTTCTGATGCAGAGGGGTTGAGTATTTTGCAGTACCCAGTTCGATCCCTTGTTCAGTCACCCTCTTTACCAACCGCACTATAACAGAGGGATGCCAACAGTTAAATCTTGCCACTGAACGGATGATTATTGCCCCAAGCTCCTTAAATTCGCGGCCAGTGGTGGGGATTTAGTTTTCATGCAGTGGCTTGGATTTTGAGTGAGGGTGACGCACGTAGTATTGAGTGCAATGAGGCAGGTCGCCTGCATGCAGGCTATGCAACTTGCATCGCCACATACGTAGGTGCCCTGCCCCTCCTCACAGGCACTGCTCTCTTCGTGCAAAATAGGGAGCTGACGCCTACCCCCTTGCCTTGATACGTACATAACAGAAAATTTAACAGTTGTTACTTCCAGCATGAATCGACAGATTTTTTCCGGTCTGGTTCCATTGTCGTGGGCCACAATACTGTGAGAGGTCCAGTTGCTGGACCATGTTGGACTCCAACAAATGCGTGTGGGCGATTGAAACAATTGATAACACCGCATGTATCGAGCTAGCAGGGTTGATTGTGCTTGTCCAAATGTGACCAATCGCTGGCGTTGCACAGCACAGGTTGCACTCTTTGGCGATGTCATGGGCGCCTTGCCACAGCTGTTCCTTGCTGTATCACAGCTGCAGCGTTACCATACTGTGGTGAGGTACGGTACAGTACGCACTTTCGGAGCCCATCGAAAGGCGTCTGGGTGGCACTGTACCGCAGTACATCAAAGGCGTTTGTTCAAGTTATCAGAATGACCTGAGAATTGATCAGAATGACAAATGAATGGTACACAATAGTCTGTCGAAATGCAGTCCGGTACCTCCAATATGCGCCAAAACGTGGCCCGATATTGTGATGGGAACGTGTTGGTACGGCCTAAGGGCATTTCGGTATATATGCTCAGTCTCTATAATTTACCAGTCCAGAAGTTGGGCCTTCGGCCCAACGTTCTGCACTTTTGTCATCACCACATTATTCAACAGAACCTGTAAGAGTCGCTCCCTTTTTCCTTTATGGAAAAGGGAGGCACCTTCTTTGAATGATGGCATTTGCATTTCTCTTCCGAAGCTCACGTGTGCACAGTCACAGCCAGTGGCACAACAACCGAGGCCCTGCACAGGAATTGTTCCCCGCATCCTGCCGCCATCTACCCAACGTTCTGCACTTTTTCGTTCCTGCTTCGTCCATTAAGAGCCTGCGCACTCGGTGGCTGGGTTGCGCAGTTGCTGGTATTCGCTCAATAACAACTGTTCTTTGATTGCAGTGGCCATTGCCACCGTCACTGCTGTCACGGCTGCGCCGCCCCGCCGCGAGAGTTTGCACCCTCTATGCGACCCGGGGAACCCCTTCCGCGGATCCCGTTTCAACCCGCACGTTTGGATCGTAAAACGACCGTTGCAGCCAGATGGCTAATCGACGCACGGACCCCGGATCACATTCGACAGTCTCGACTTATGAATGTCACACACTGCGCGCTGCAGTCGCGATGGCGGGGGCGTTCACCCCACCCCGTGCTCGCGCTCAAGTGTGCCCATGGGCCTAGGCGGGACCCACGCAACCGACCTCCGCAACAATCCCATCAACTCACTCCCAGGCCCAGGGGCCTCAACGCCTCGCCTTGAGGTGGGCGGTGATTGCCTCGCGTGCTGCCATCGCCATGCCGATGGCTGTCACGGCAGAGAGCGTCCAGGGAAAGAGAGCAGCTCCCTGAGCCGGAGGGAGCCCTCGCGTGGGGCAGCAACTTCGACCATTGAGTTTTGGGGCCCGACCTATCACCACTGCGGCCATCGGCGGTGGCGATGGCCGCCATCGCCACCGCGTCGACGGGGAGTCGCGTCCCACAATCGCAACGCACAGCTCCGCACCTCGAGAGCCGGCACTGGGTTTTGGCAAGGCCTCTGCCGGGATCGCCCACCACCACCGCCATCGCATGCCATCGCCACGGGCGTGATTCGCGAGCCATCGCCGCAGCCGCATTGCCCTCAATCGACCCAAAAGAGCATTCGATAGTCACAGCAAGTGATTGACACACACCGCGCGCTGTGACTGTGATGGCGGAGGTCCATGGCCGGCCCCGTGCTCGCGCTCAAGCATGCTCCCCAACCCGGGTTGGAGCTGCACCCCTGCTCTCCGCTTTCCAAAACTTCACTCCAGGGCCCGGGGGCCCTGAACGCTTTGTCTTGAGGGGCGCGCTGATTGCATCCGGTGCCGCGGTCGCTGCGCCGATGGTTGCCACAACAGAGCGCTGGAAGGCTCTGGAGTGGCTCCGCGGCCCGATTGGAGCCCTCGCAGGAACGACAACGCTGAGCCGCGAGTTTGGGCAAGGGCCATCGCCGTTGTGACGATCGGCGCCGGCGATGGTCTCCATTGCCGCCGCGGCGTCGTGGAATCGCGCTGGGAAACGTCCGCCTCGAGCGCAAGCGTGCAACGAGCGCCACAACCGCGACACCGATAGCCGCGCGCCTCCCGTCGGCCGCCCTCGAGCGCAACCACCGGTCCACCCCGGGAGGGCGCATGCCCACGCCACTCACGTAACTCCTATGTCACAAGTGTCGATTCTTACACAAGAACGCTGAGTCAGACTCTAAAAATTAATTTCCGGGGCGCTCTTAGCCGCGTTCCCAGCTCATAAGACCCACCAAGAGTGTCGCCAGCCTGTGGATTTGTTTCCCTCACGGGTTCCAAGAGGAGAATCACACCAGCACTTGAATCACAGGTGCTGACACTTATACCCTTCTTCATCATCAAAATCCATCGATTACATTTGTCACACAGTGACAAAACACATCCCGCGCCGGACAAACCAGCTCGCAGAAAGGTCAATCCGTGCTCTACGTGCACCTCGACATTCCCTTCAAACGGGTTGGCATGGTAGGGACATCGCGCAATTGTACGGGGTCAGTGTGGGGATGGGACACGGGTAATGGTATTAAGGGATGATCGAGGGAAGGTTCCGGGTGAATGGGAGTGTGGCGAGTAGTTAGTGGGGCAGTTGGAGGGAGCTGCGGTAGAGGAGGTAGAGGAGGAAGTGAGGGAGAAGGGCAGCGGGTAGGGCCCCTGGGAACGTCGGCGGACGGACAGGTCCAGGGCGCCGGCCTAGAGGTTAGCGAATGGGTAGTTGAGAGGATATGATAACAGTTGGGAGGCCGGGAGTGGACATGGGAACATCACGGGACTTCATCCGGGGATTGGCCAAGCCAACATGGCTGGGGCGGCCACTGGAACATTCCTCAAAGTTGGCGGCCTAGGAACAGATCGGCAGGCCAGGTTCCATGAAAAACGAATGAAACGTTTGCCATGTAGAAGCAGCAAAGTCTGTAAGTGCGAAATGGGGTTCACGCCGGAGCCATCCACGGCGAAGGCAAGGGTTAAACGATCGTGTCACTGCGCCACCGAGCGCCCTCCCAGTGGTCGGTCAGCCGTGCTGCAATCATTGCGCACCGGCATAACAGTCGGCTCTGGCCATCAGCCGCGGGACCGCACGCAAATTCGCCAACTTTCCAGCTGCATGTTAGTAAAATTGGGGAACAAGGAATTACTAAGTTTCCGACGCCATCATTCACGAGCAGCCGCAGGCCCCTGGGCCGCACACTGGCCAACATGCGGCGAATAAATATCCTGCTGGGGGGGGTGCGCATGTGTGGCTGCTGTCCGCTGGCCGAGGCCAACTTCCTCCATAAAAGAGGCCGGCAACAGCCGCTGTCCGGAAGGCAAACCCTTCCAGCTCCAGCACAGGTTCGCGGGCTCCCATTCCCCCTACCACCGTCGCAGCACAGCCGCGCACCGACCGCCCAACCATGGCGTCTTTCTCGATGGCGGACCTCACGGTGGTCAGCAACGGCGGTACCAAGGCCAAGGGCCCGGCCGAGGTAAGGGCGCCCGAGGCGCCCATTCGCATTCCACCCCACCACTTTTCGTAAGAGATGTGCAGAGTCCCAAACAGGCGTCTGGCGAGGAGATGTCAACTCCCCCGTGGGTCGCAATGTGCGCTGAATTTGTGGGTGCCTCTGGGCGTCAGGGCGCGGCCTTCGGGCTGGCGTTCACGGACCACATGCTGGTGATCGAGCACGCCGCAGGGAGCGGCTGGGGCGCCCCGGTGATCAAGCCGTTCCAGAACCTCAGCTTGCACCCGTCGGCCCAGGTGCTGCACTACGGCATGTCGTGCTTCGAGGGCATGAAGGCATACAAGGGCGTCGACGGGGCGCCGCGGCTGTTCAGGTGCGATCCGGCCCCCGGAGGGAGGCATTAGAATTGATGCCAGGGCGGGGTAGCGGGGACACTGAGATGAGTGGTTCGGGTTGCCATCCGCCCTTGGGCCCAATCTCTGCCGTCTGACGGCTGTGGGGATGCCGTGGAGGCGCGCTCAAAGTGCAGCGTCGCTCGGCTGTTAACTAGTCTTCATTGGGCCACCCCGCCGGGGGCTTGCCCCTTGCGCCCGGAGGCTGGCTGCCCGAGCCGCTTTTTCGTTCTGGACGTCGCCTGGCGATTGAATTTAATGTTCCCGTGGCGTGTGCACCTTCCGGATCGCCAGGCCACAGATGAACATGAAGCGCTTCCATAAGTCTTGT